GATGTTTCTGAGTCACACAGCTGACCTTACATGGCTGGCTCCTCCCCTTCAGTGTTCACAGGCTGTCCACACTGCAGGTCCACCACAGCTGTCCACCACCACCTCCTTTCTATAGCCATTCAGCATCCTTCAGACGGATGTACTACACTGCCTCCTTCACAGTGCACATGTGAGCTTAGGAGCCATTTGCCAGCACGTGCCATGCTGCTGTGAACTGAGCATAGGAGTCTTTGCTGTTTCTCAGACACCAAGGAGTAGACTTCTAGTTCGTATGATGAATGACACAATTCCCCACATGCTTCCCATGCTCTTGGTTGTTCTTGTACATGTACAGGTGTTGTGGTGGGTATGAGACTCCATGTCTGCATGGGTCAGAAGCTGGTTTGCAAGTCCCTGTGACAGTGACATGTGACACTGTCTTTTCTGCTCCATCATTTTCTTATCATCTTTGGAGAAATGCCTATCCAAGTTGTCCCACCCCTACCCCGTGGTGTATGTATACATGTGTGTAGAGGTGTGTGACTCTGTGCACCTGCATTCAGAGGCCAGAGGAAGGTGTTGGGTATTCTCCTTTATCCCTCTCCAGTGTATTCCTTGAAACAGTCTCTCTTCAAACTTGTTGGCCGACAAACCCCAGTCATCCTGTCCCTGCCCTGCCCTCCCTATTGCTAGGGTTAGAGGAGCACATGAAACCATGCTCAGCTTGTTACATGGGTATTGGCATCTGAACTCAGCTCCCTGTGGTTGCACAGCAAGCCCTCTTAAGCTGAGAGATCTCTCCAGCCCATTTCTTTTGTTTTTTAAAGACACACTTACTTGGTGTCATGATCAAACTAATGAATTTAACAATCAACTGAGTGAAAAAGGCCAAAGTTAAAACACTTTGTTGGAGACTGGGTGGTGGTGGCACACACCTTTAATCTTAGCACTTGGGAGGCAGAGGCAGGTAGATCTCTGTGAGTTTGAGGCCAGCCTGGTCTACAGAGCTAGGACAGTCAGGGCTACACAAAGAAACCCATTCTCAAAAACCAAACCAAACCAAACCAAACCAAACCAACCAACCAACCAAACAACCAAACAACCAGACAAACAACCAGACAAACAAATAAACCAGAAACAATTTGTTAGAGAGCTACATGCTTCCCCAGAACAGAAACCAAATAACCTGTTACACAGTCAGTCACAGGTACTGTCCTGAGTTCACAATCTGTTGTCACCTGTGGCTCCCTGTCACATCTCTGGCCTTCATGTCTACTAGGCTTTGTTTCCTAGCAGTGGTTAAAACCTTCTGCCCCCGCTGTAGCAATGCACTGATGGGGCCCATCATAGCCTCCTTGGTTTCATAGTTTGGCAAAGTGTTAAGAACTTCCACACCACAGAGACAAAGCTCCTGCCTTCAAATTCCTTCATGGATTCAAAATCTGAAGACTGATATTTGTGATTTCCAACCTCAATAGGTGTTGCCACCGACACAGTTGCTGCCACTACTATTACGAAATTCCTCTCTGTCCCCCATTGTTAAAGCTGTCATAGCCTCTCCTAACCATAGCCCCACCCATCACTACCATAGCCTCTGCCTTCTCCAGAGTAACCAGGATTGCCTCCCCCATAACCACTGTCATTACCAAACTCATTAGAGCCATCACCACTGCCACCATATCAGCCAACACTATGGTTACTGAAGTTTCCTCCATGACCAAGATTGTCATTGTCACCCAGCACTGGCCATCTCAAGTATGAACAGGGTTCACTTCTCAACTTTCTCGCTTCTCATTGTGGCAGCGACTCTCAGGGTGACATTTCTGAATGACAGACTTATCCACAGAGTTGTGGTCCTCAGAGGTGATGAGCAATGCTGCTTCTTCCCCTGCTGACTGTCACAATTCTGGCCATTTCACTTTCTCTAGCTGTGCAAAACAATCTCCAGGTGGCTTTCCTCAGTGGTGGGCTGGGTGATGGCTGACAGGTCAGTGGCAGAGGTGGCTGAGGTGTCTTTGGCTATGGTCATAGAAGGAAAGATCTTTCCCACGGTTAACTGTCACCTAGTCTTTAAGAAGTTTCTCTCAGTTGTCTCTGATCTCCCTGTTCTTAAATGCACATTGTGTGGCCTTACATTCATGGCTTCATCCACCTCCTGCCCAGTGGCAGCAAGTGTTCTCCATGGTTCCTCAGACATTCAGAGCTGGTTTAAAAGCCCTGCTCTCCAATAAGAGCTTGCTTCCATACCTGTCCAGGCTCTTTATGAACCTGATGTAGGCCTGACAGTAGGGGGATGAGAACTTTCAATAACACTTTCTCAGTCTCATCCACAGGCAAAAAGTGCTGCTCCTTTCTTATCTAGGTTCTGTCTTGTTGAATGGCAGAAGTTCTTTACATATTTTGGATGCCATGGGGATCCATGACTGAAAAGCTGTCCTCCCCTTCTTCAGCTTGTCTTCTGAGCCTCCTCCCATGCCCTTTGCTGAACAGGAGCTTTTGGTGGGTCTTGCCGAAGTTGGCTTGCTGATTGTCCCTCGGTTGCTTATGGTTTGGTTGTCCGATCTAAGTCTCCATCCAGGCTAACAAGGGCTTTCTTTGAGGTTTTTCTCTTGACAGTTGTGCTGTTTTAGATCTTGTAGTTAGGTCTTCTGTCTGTTTATGAAACTCTTGGACTTGGGTATGCACTGACATGCAAAGAGGAGTGAGTGGCCATGTGCACCTGGACACACTTCCACAAATCAGACACACTCATATAGCCACTACTCAAGCTAGGACCACAAACACACCCAGCCTCTGTGGACTTTTTCCTGTCTTCACAGGATAGTCACCACACTCTAACAATGTAGAGTCCCTCTCACTTGGACCCTGATAAACCTGGGTCCCCCTCCTCTGTGCTGGCTTCTCTTCCTTGCTGTTCAGACTGTTTGCATCTTTATGTTCATTGTTCAGGGCATGAGGGTTGAGGGAACATGTGACTATGTGATCTGGCCCTAGAGTTGAGGACTTTCACGTAGGGTTGGGAGCCCACAGGCCCAGGCTGAAATGTGTGCACTTGGGATCTGCTTGGCTTGTGTCCAAGTTCTGCCATCTGCCCACCCACCGAATGACCTTGCTCAAGTCCCCCTCCACCCATGCCTCTAATGACAGTGAAGGCTGTAATGCACCTACAGTGTATTATATAAAGGACTGCCACAGAACTGAACTTCTAGTATGTGTGGGACTGAGTAGTGTGTGAATGCAGTATGGCAAGTCACAGCGATGGCAACAACTGTTATGGGGGAAAATAGAGTCTGTTGTCTCTCTGTCTCTGTCTCTCTCACCCTCTCTCTCCAACATGTTTATATCTCTGTGTGTGCAATGCTTGAAGAGGACATAGGACAACATTGAGCTGTGAGTTGTAATTGTGAGCTATCTGACTTGGATTCTGGGAACCCAACTCAGGTCCTCTGAAAGATGGGCAAGCTCTCTTAACCACTGAGCCATCTCTTCAGCCCTGAACTTAGTGTCTCAGAAACTGTTTCCACCAGCGTTATATGTCCCTTTAAATTCACAAATGCATGCAGGGCTTGTTTACCTTGGGGTTGTCACAGACCTGCTGGGAGAACTTGGGAGTGGAGACAGATAAGAAGTTCACGAACTGGGGAACATCAATTCTGACATTCAGCTGACTTTTCTAAAAACACTGAGTGGTTTTCAACTGTTGGTCAGAACTCAAAACACAGTGCTCCCCTGCCTACTCACTGTGCTGTCTATTGTAATCACCAAAATGACCTGGACTCTTACCCTGTTGTTCAGGGTGGCACTGGATGTGACCACTGTACCCAGGCACCAGCCCTGCCAGCAAAGCTCAGTGTGTTCTGGGAGGAAGAAGGCTGGACCCTCACCAGGCAGTGAGAGATGGATCAGAAGACATGAGATTAGGGGAGATTTCTGTGAAGGAGGTGACTTGGGAGGGAGCAAGGCCATTTGGTGAGGCTGGGAGCTCCAGAGGAACCCAGGTGGCAGAGTTAACATGAACAGGGCCTGGACTGGGGTCAGCTACCATGGATGGGGTCTCTCCTCTCTACCTTGAGGATCCCTTGGCCCAAGACATGAGCATGGGTGGGTACTGAGTTGACAGCCAGGAGGAAAGTGGCAGAGCAGCCGGCAAGGCCCACATGGGAAAGATTTTAGATTCTCTTTTCCCATATGCAGGGGCCTTGGCCTAGTTTTTTCAAGGGAAAACAGGCAGAGGTAGGGAGTGAAGTAAGGTACTCTTAGCACCCCACCCCCACTTCTTATTCAGGAAGGTGCCTGTTAAGATTCCAGTTCAGAAGCGGGCGTGGAGCCTCTTCCCATTTTAGGATGCTGTGAGGCACAGGCTTCATCGTTCACATTTAGCTGCAGGCCCACCTGCTGCACCCTGGGAATGGAATTCACTGTTGAGGATGGTGGAATCAGCACCTTAGGACTGTTTTTTTTTTTTTTTTTGGCACCATGTAGAAGTAAGCCAGAGGCAAGAAATTACAATTAGTGTAATCTATTTATTGTTTTAGGATTAAAATTTATAATCTAATTTAATGGTTTTTAAAGAATTACTAAACTAGAAAGTGCCAATTGAGAGAACTGAGTACAGAGATACAAACAAAACAAAACAAAACAAAACAAAACAACCCAAAACTATCCTCCCTGTTGCCATCACCAGAGAAATGAAGTTGCCTACTCTCACCGTCCAATCCTTATTTCCACCTCTTGTCCCCCAGGACAAGCAGAGGTGAAGGGACCAGACCCTCCTTTTATACTGACCTGTCCACAGCCACACTCAGGAGTGCACTGCACATCTAGTCTCCCGAGATCAAGGATAAGGCGGGCAGAGCTAGGTCTCCCAGCCTTTGAACAGGCCCTGGATGCCCTGGGTGCTCCCTATTGAGCTTGTACAGATCTCTGCTCCCAGTAGCTGCTGGGCCTTTGATGTGCTCACGTCTGTGGCACAGTGGGTACCCACTGCAGTGGCAGCTCTTACCTCCTTTGTGTTTCCCCAGGCCGGGGAGAAGCACTACCACCCTTCGTGTGCGCTATGCGTCAGGTGCGGCCAGATGTTCTCAGAGGGCGAGGAGATGTACCTGCAAGGTAAGCATTTGGATATGCCTATTGCATACTGTGCCCAGGGGGTGGTTGTGAAATTGGTCCTAGTGCTGCTAAGAGCTGGCACTGTCACACATATAGACTATGATCCCGACTCAGCGGTATGGCTATTGAGGGTGTCAGTAAATCTGAGGGAGGGAGATCAGGTTGCCAAAGAGCAGGCTGTGAGGTCCCACCACTGCCCCTCAGGCCTCATTCCCACTCGAGGGCTCAAAGACTTTCAGTCATGCCCTACCTGAGCCTTGGCCTCTGGTGCCCCTGTCACACCACATCAAGACCAGATTTCCTTCCTGAAGTGTGGAAAAGAGCAGCCTTCATAACATTGGCAAAGGGAAATTGGGAGAAAGGAGCCTTCTAATGCATTCGCTGGAATCCCACCCACTGACCATTAAAACTCCTATTAACAGGGCCAGTGAGGTGACTCAATGGCTGGTGGCCCTTACTGCACAAATGTGATAGCCTGAGTTCCACCCCTGGAACCCATGTAAAGGTGGAAAGAGAGAACTGACTCTAGAAACTTGTCCTTTGATCTTCACACATGTGCCATGGTACACGCACCCCCACACAATACCAATAAAATAAAAATAAATCACAGTAATAGTGTCAAAATGGAAAATGACAGTGGCATAGCTTAGCCAACCTATGGCTATATGTCTCATTTTAGAATCATGCATTGTTTAATTCCCTAAAATAGGTTGAGTGGTCCACAGCCAAGCAGAGGACATGGCGGTGTAGACCTAATGAAGTCGCAGATGGCAGGAGTGGCAGAGATGTGATAGCATTGCCAGGTCCTGAGTCTGTATAGGAGACAGAGCAACTAACTGAAGGTGGCTACAGGTCACACAGGCTCTTAGGAGCTTGCCAGCCTAACAGGCCTGAGTGGGAGGTTATGCCTGTTCTCTTCCAGTTCTGTTTCTTAGAAAGCTGAAGAGGCAGCATGGTTTCATCTCAAAACTCTACTGGGAATGACATTATTTGGGTTCAGCTCTTCAGTTGGGCCTGGTGCAATAGCTTGGTTCTAAGTCACAACCTTAGCAACTGTCTTCATTGGACAGTATAGTAAAGGAGAGGGCTCCCTGGAACTCCTGGGGCTGGAAACCAAGCCAGGCTTCACTGTGTCTCTTTCTAGATGAGCCCTTTAGACAGGGTTCATGGATGCTATTACATTCTGATGGTAGCACTCAGTGCTCCCTCATTTCTTTCCTATTGGTTGAAAGCAGAGCCAGGGAGGCACTGGCCCTTGTAGAGGAGGAAACACTGTTTTCTCTTCACCCTTCTTAGATTAGTGGGGACCCCGTGATAGAAAGTAGGCAAAAGATAAAAGGGCAGAGAGAAGCATGTGAGTGAGTGTCCCTCATAGACACATAGGAGAGCCATGGTGACAGAGCATCTCCAGGGTGAATCTCAGAGGGCAGCTCTGATTTCTGGCTGACATAACACTTTCTTAGCCATGAGAAAAGAATGTTAGGAAGAAGTCAAATGAAGGAAGGAGACCTTGGGTGTGTGTGTGTGTGTGTGTGTGTGTGTGTGTGTGTGTGTGTGTGTGTGTGTGTGTGTGTGTCTATTGCAGATGCTAAGCACACCTCCCCAGTGATGGCACCCCTGGTGACTCAGTCACCCCATCTACCAGGTGAAGATGTAGGCTCATACACAGAGACCTCTATACAGACCTGAATTCCCCCTTTATAGTCTGTTGTATCATTCCTGTGTTTTCCATGTCCTCCCCAGGTAACCAGCTCAAAGTGATCTTTCTGCCACAGAAACAATGGGTGTCATGTGCTGCTGCCTGGTCACATGTTGGGGTAGCATGTTCTGACCCATTTGATCTCAAGAGAGAAACCAATCAAAAGCAGCATAGAGGAGGAAATGGTTAATGGCTCATGATTTCAGGTTGGGCCATTATTTAAGGCAGGAACTTAAAACAGCCAGTCTTACCACAGTCAAGATCAGAGAGAAACAAATGCATGCATGTTGACTGCTTGCTTAAAACTCAGTTAGCTACCTCTGCTCTTATGTGGCCCAGGGCACAAAACCAGGGAATGGTGTTGCCCGTGATGGACTGAATCATCTTACATCAATTAAAATTTAAGACAAACCTGATCTAGAGAGCTCCGCAAGTGAAACTCTTCTCAGATGAGTCTAGGATGTGTCAAGATGACAGTGAAAACTAACCAGCACATGCATCTAGGGTGGGGACTTACTGAAACTAGGGCAAGGCTCAGTCATCAGAGGTGAATGAGGAAATGTCACAAGACAGGAAGGGTGGCCAGACACCTGGAGGGAAGGATTCTCAGTGAGTTGACTTGCGTTATTCTGCCTCAAACTGGGCTAAGAAGGCCTAAAAACGGGGGAGCGGAGGTGAAGGACGGGGGGGGGGGGCAGGACAGGAGGATGGCGCCCAGGGCCAGATGGGGACGGGATTTCAGAGCGGGGCACTTACCTGATGATCGACAGAAGGCGAGGACAGAAGAGGACAGCAGAGGAGAAGGTGGCTGTGGCTGGGGGGGGGGGGGGGGCGGAGGGGGGGGCGGGGGGGGGGGGGGCAGAGGCCACGGCCTACTCTGAACTGGAGTTTAATTAAGGAACAAGGAACCTGTGTCTCCCACTTCCCACTGAGTGCTGGGGACAGATAGGTGAGGCAGGTCAACCCGCCCTCCAGAACAGCTAGCTAGAGGGAGCTAGTGTGAGGCCAAGCTATCCCAGATATACCAGCAGAAGGCTGGGAGTGCTGCTTAGAGGAGGTGTGGACAGGGCTTGTCTTGGCTGTGATGAAAGACTGGAGGCTTCAGGATGAATAGGTGAATAGGAAGGCAGAGCACCTGTCAGGAACCTACATTCAAGCTGAAGGTGACAGAGAATTGAGTCAGCCTGGTGAGCTAGTCCTTACCAACTGGATGCAGCAAGAGGAGAGAGCTCACACCTTAACCCCTGCCCAGGGCTAGCAGAACAGATAGAAGCAGGAGGCTTGAGAAGCTTGGCTTTATCCCAGAGCACGTGACCAAGGGACACTGGGATGAGTGGGCAGGGGCAAGGTCCAGCAATTGAGTGGGCATGATCAGTGGGCCAAGTGAGGATGGCCTTGTGTTGATATTTCATCTTTTTGGCAACTTATTCTTTCTCCTGGGGTCCTGGGGCAGCTGAGCAGGGCTAGGCAGCAGACAAAGCTGGTGGCAGCTGCATCTGTTGTGTTCTAATTACAGACTGATGCTGAGTAACCATAAAGAGGCATTCCAATCTGTGTGTCAGACAGGCCTCCCTTTTCTGAGGCAAGCCCTGGCTGGGGATGATGTCAGATGTGTCAGTCTCATCCCCACTGTCGCCTGTTGTTCCCAAGGCGAGGTCCTGAGAGTCAGGCCAGCCACTACAGCTGCCTTGTGGAAGGCCCTTTGCAGAGGCTCCACTGTAAATGTAAATGGAGCCCTTAAACAGAGGGCTGGCCAATGCCAGGCACAGCTCACTGGGATAGTGGCTTGGGGACACGTGCTCACACGAAGGTGTCCTCATCTCTGGACACAAAGATCCCTTTCATGAGTCTGGGATGATCCAACCATTGCAGTGGGACCTGCCAGGGCTTTCTGTGTACATGGAGTCCAGGCTGCATTCTCAGACATGGGTTTTCTACACTGCAATGAGAGTCTGATTAGGCTAATGACACTTATTTGTGCTCTCTGGTGAGCTAAAGCCTATGGCCAGGGCCTTATGTGGTACACCACCTTTCCTGGCCAACCATAGACCTTCCGTTTGACTCCTTACACCAACTCTCTATGAAGGTGGTGTCTGGCAGGTTGCCGATACTGTGACCAGAGCACTGGCAAGTGTGGGTGCTGTGACTTTCATGTTGTACTGGCCATGAGAACTTCTTTCCCACCCCTGTCTCTGTACTTGATGCTAGCTCTGAGAGCACCCCTCTGGCCACCCTAGGCTGGACTGTGCCCAGTCTCCCTGGAACCCATGCTGCTATCCACAGCTCTCCCCTTTCCCTCGTGTCTTTACCTCCATGAGCCAAGCTGCTAGACGCTAGATGCTCTGGTCTCAGTGTCACAGAGAGGTGTGGAGCCCATTTGAAGGGTATTGAACAGGTATTCATGTGTGGACACCACACCTAGAACTACTCTTTGACCACTTCCTCTTGGGAATCTGTCCACAGGCTCCTCCATCTGGCACCCGGCATGTCGACAAGCAGCCAGGTCTGAAGACAAGAGCAAGGTTGGTGAGATTTGTGGCTTCCTGGTGTGATCTCCACATGCAGGTTAGAGGGGGAGGTACAGGCCAGCCTACTCATGCTTCCCAGCCAGGCCTCAGAGGCATCACAGGACAGTCAGGCTCAGGGGACAGAGGGCCACAAGGTGGGGGAGCATATAGGTCAATGAGCCATTATGCAGCTCTAATGGTCCCCAAGGACACCAGATGGCCCAGCCCTGCTGACATCCTTGTCCAGTCAGTGAACACAGATGGCCATGACAGTTTGGGGGACCCCAAATAGTTCCTATGGCCATCAGAACATTTGTGGATCCAAATTGTGCCTGGGCTTGACAGTTCCCATACCCTCACTGAGAGCTAGCATGCCAGGCATAGGGCAAGTTGTTGAGGACAGAATTGTCAGAACACACAGCAAGTCCCAGTTCAGAACTTCTTGTCCCTGTGGAGATGGGCATGTCACCCTCCTGTATATGCAGGACAGGGCACATAGAGCACTGCCAACCAGGCAAGCTCCATGCTTGAGTTTTCACTGAGGCTCCGGCAGGGAGGAGTGTGATTCATTGAGCCCACAAGTTACGTCAACTGATCTGCTGCAACGGGAGGCTCTTGTCCTAGTGCACAGGTTGGCCTTCCTAACATGGCCACTATACCCTGAGATGATCAGGTGTGGCCAGCCCTCCCTGAACACAGCTGCTGCTGAGTTGAGATAAATACGGCTTCCCAGGAGCTGAGAGCAAAGGTCAACCTCTAGGAAGGGATGGGTTCTGAACCACACAGATTCCCTGCTGTGTGCCAGGCACCAGGATTATGACCTTGAAATGAAGAGAGAATAGCCACCCTGGATGGGAAGGAAGCACAGCATTTAGAGGGTGAGCTAGAGCCTGTGCAGAGCTCAAACCCAGGCACTGGGAGCTGCATGGGAGTGGTTTCCAGGGTGGTACCTCCTTTCTTGGGTAGTTAAGGTACAGAGCAGAAGGAGGAGGGGAAGAATGAAAAGTAGTGGGAGGAGGAGGAAGAAAAACATAGGAGGAGGAAGTGATGGAGGAGGAAGAGGAGGAAGTCTGGCTGAACAGAAACAGGAGACTATGCAGGCAACAGGGAGGAGCACTGAGGTCAGGGAGGCAGTGCAGGGCGCTGTCCAGGATCCTCTCAGCAGCCCTGCCTTTGGCTGTGAGGTGCTTAGGTCCCCCCACCCCCACCCCTGCCCCCACCCCTCCCCCCATGAGTCTGCATTACTCTGCCTCATTGTGCTCGCATCCTATTAAGTCTTTGCTGTGGCTTTTCAGATGGGAGGCCAATGCACAATAACACATTATATTCACCAATGGCTGATTCTGCAAACTGTGCATCTGCCACTCAGGGCGTCCCTGTCCTCAGTCATGATCTGTGGAGATGTGACCATAGAGCCTGATACCATCTTGTCTGCAGGGTCCTCTATGCTGCCCAACCGCTCAGCAGAAGGAAGGAGTTTGGCATGTCCGGAGGCCCCAGATACATTCTCACACAAGCATGTACTCAGGGAAGCAACCTGACCTGAGACTGAACAGAGCTAGGAAAGGAAGCTGACACACTGCTTTCCTCCCTTCCCTTCCCCGAGTAAGGCTCAAGGACCGGGCAGGGTGGCCCATACACCACACCAGCTACAGGGGACAACAGCCCCTTCCTCATTTTCTCTGGTCCCTGGCCAGATGGAAGGCCCTGAGGGGTGGGTGCTGCCAGACCAGGGACCAAAGCAGTCTTGTTTTCCTGGGCCTGTGCAGGAGGGCTTTACATCCAGGGCTCTCTGGTCTGTACAGCTATTGAAGCGAGTAGTTCAGCCAATATTTGGGGCAGAGCCTGGGCAGCCTGAGAGCAGCTGCCTTCTTGGTGTTGAGCCCAGGCTCCCCAGGGCTGCTGTCTGGTCTGGCCTGGGGGCGGGTGGAGGGAACAGACTCCTGCACTCTGTTGTTCCTCATGTGAGCAGCCCTTGAGTAAGTGAAGCCAGGCAGGTCTGGCTGGCTTAAGAAGGTTTGTGTCCCTGAGGACACCTGTGTTATTGACTCTTGAAACCTGCCACTGAGTGGAGCAGTGCCTCCTTTCTACCCAGTGACAAGAAATGGTTTCTTGTCTTGGGTTTAATAGTCACCATAACAAGTGTCCCTTGGTGTGTGGGCCCTTGGACATCTCCAGGACACTCAGGGGACTCATTCTCGCTTAAGACCCTAGCTCCTGACTGGTCTATCCATGCAGGGTCAGGCCAGAAGGAAGAAACACAAGCCTTCCTCGCTGTCTGGAAAGCCACCCCAATCATGTAGCTGTCCCTCTTCCACCCAGGCAGGGAGTATATTGTGGACAAGGACCACAGGTTACAGGGTCCTGAACATCTAGAATAGGTGCAGTGGACTTCAGGAGATGCAGTCATGACAGCCCAGACACACAGGCATCATGGCATCCCTAGCACAGCATTTAATGCCCACAAGCATCATGGAAGCCTTAGCACAACACCAATTGCTCCCAGGTATTATGGCACCCACAAGCATCAATGGCATCCTTAGCACACCACCCAATGTCCACAGCTATCATGACATCTTTAGCATACCTCCCAATGCCTACAGGTATCATGGCAACCTTAATAGAGCACCTGGCATCCACCATGTGTTTTAGAACTTCTGTACCTGGAACTTGGGAGAGGGCAGTGAATGAAGCCTGTGGACTCCCTGCAAGTTCCAGGTCCCATTCTTATCTCTGTGGGTGGGAACAAGGCAGTGACACAAGGCCCTGGGGAGCATGGCACTGAAGTTCACTGTGGAACAGACTTCAGGTCAGGGATGGCAGAGGGGGCTAGATAGTGTCCATCTTCTCACCCCGGTGACAGTGACCTTACCTTTTCTCCCTGTCTCCTCTGCTGACAGGTTCTGTCCTCTGCCCTCCTCCCACATAGCTGGTAACTCAGTACAAGGAGGGCTCGCATCATTTCTGCTCAGAGTGGCCGGAGCCCATAGCACAAAGAGAGCTGGGAGTGGTCACTTCTGCCTGCTTTGTGAGGCTCGCTCAGATATCCCCTCCATGACCAGTAGGGGACTTTGCTCTGAATGACACACTGGTCTGCAGTACATGCCAGTAACAGCAGGCCCCTATCTGGGCATTTTGCCACTTTCCATAGAAGGGGGCTAGGCAGGCATCATCCGGGGTCGGTGAAGCACAGTAGCCACCTGGCCTCTCATTGCTAGAAGAGCAGGCCCCATCTTACAGGCAGTAGTTACAGGCATGTGGGGGGCACCTTCTCTGCATATAGCAGTTCTGAGGTATGTAGTGACTAAGGACAGGACTGCCAGTGCTGTTAGGTGATTCCATTCCTGCCAGCCTCAAATCTGTGGTCCCAGGGGTCAGGCAGGCCCCTCGAGTTGGCACATGTCAGTGTAGTCCCGAGCTGAGGGGCTGAGGAATTGAGGGCTCCTGGGGAGGTGCAGCTTGGGGCTGAAGGGCCCAGAGCACAGGACCTGCAGAGGGGATGGCAGAGGATCTGGAGAGCAAGCTTCACGCCATCACTCCTCTCTCCCTTCTAGATGCACAGCTCTGTTTGCAGCCAGCCCTGCCCGGGCACCCTGCCCTATGCCTTACAGGTTTGTGCCTCCTGCTGCCCTGTGTGGCACGTCTGGTCCTGGTGTCTGCTTGTCCCTGCTGGTGTCATGTTGAGTGTAGGAGGAGCTCAGGAGGGGAGGCCTCCTCCAGGTCAGGCTTGGTTCTTCTAGCCTGGAGGTTTTAACACTTTCCTGCCTCCCTGTGGCAGGGGTCAAAGCCCCAAGTGATGGCAGACTGGCTCCTCCTGAGGGTTCTCTGCTTGGACTAGGAGACATCTTGTTTTATTTTTTTATATGCTTTTCTCCCCCCCCCCATGTGTGTGTTCAAGTTCTGAACTCTTTTTAGGATGACCCCAAGCAGATTGACTTAGAGCCACCCACTTTCCCTTTGTGATCTCTGCAAGGACCCCATCTCCACAAGGTCACATGACCCAGTATAGGGCCTCAGCCTAGGAAATTTAGGAAAACCAACTTGGACCTTAACAGATATCAACTGCATCAGGAGAGGAACATGGCAGACTCCAGAGGCAAAGAAGAGCCTCCTGAGGAAAAATGAGGCAGGGGTGGTGGTGTGGGTCACTGAAGACATTCAGTGGAGGACAAGAGGTCAAGAGCAGAGGGGTCAGAGCTCTTTCCTTCTGAGAGGCAGTGACACCTGGTGGAAATATGTTCCTCTTAGATGAGGTGAGTAGGAGGCATGAGAGAATAGGCATGAGGGGCACTATACCAGGAGAAGGGGTGTAGAGTGGCCAGGTATACGGGCCTGGCCTGTAAGAATGAAAGTCAGGTGTGGGAGGTCTGTGTGAAGGAAAGGAAGGAGGTGCTAGAGTTAGTGATGCAGAGGGGAGGTGAGGAGGACTGGGCACTGTCAACAGCAGAGACTGGGAGGAGGTTGGATGTGTGCAGTGACATCACACAACACACATCACTCATCACTGGGAACTGACAGCTGAGCCTAGGTAAGAGAGGAAGGAGTGACTGAGAAGGGCCTGAGGGCCAGGTCAGCAGAGTGGAGAGCATGGCTGAAGGGTGTGACTGAAGGGTGTGGCTGAAGGGCTGAAGCCCATCCAAGGAGGGAAACTAAGCATCAATGAGTAGCAGAGGTTCTGTGTGTCATAGAGATCAAGGGGTTGCTAGACATTCCCACCTGCCTTCATCATGATCACCCCACCCCAGCAGCCCTTGGGACATTCTGAGCTTTCAGTAAGTGTCAGGTTGTGGACACCTTACCTACCTTCACTTGTGGCCTGCTGTGTTTATTGTAGCCTTCAGTTGTTCATTCAAACCTGTATGTTTGTTCTGAGACTTCCCTCAACCCACAAAAAGAGGAAAATTCTACCTGCTGAACTCAGTGGCATTTCTGACTGCATCCTGAAGATGCCTCCAGAAGGTTCCCAACAGCACCACTCCAGGCCAACCTGTACAACTCTGTTCTAGGAAACGAGGACTTCCTCGGAGAGCATTGTCTCTGTGCCTGCCTCCAGCACGTCAGGGTCCCCAAGCCGTGTGATCTATGTAAGTGAGGGCCATGGAGAGTGCTATGGGGTGGGGGTGGAGTCATCACTGGGCCAGTGCTGTGGAGACTGCAGTCTGCTGAGGATGGTCACTGTGGGTACCAAGGGTGAGGCTGGACACTCAGCACTGCCGTGGGGGAAGAAATGGGTATGGAGTTGGAGAGTGACTCAAAACCTGAGGCCTGGACACATCCATGTGGCCTGGCCAAGCCCCTAGAAGTTTGTCCCCAACTGTCTGGTGATGAGAGAGAGAACATAGTGCATAGCTGTGGTCATAATATTGCAGGAGGGGAATGGCTGGTTTGTAGTTAGAGTGAGCCAAGGCCACCTGAAGGAAGGATGTTTTGGGCTTGTAAGTCACTGTGCAGGTACACGCTTGTGCCCGGAAGGCTCTGCCCAACCAACTCCCCAAGAGAAATGCACTGGGGATGCACATGCAATGCATTTGTGTGTGTGTGTGTGTGTGTGTGTGTGTGTGTGTGTGTGTGTGTGTGTATGCACAAGAGCACCCATGTAAATATAAAGAAGATTGGACCCATTTTTAAAAAGTTGTTGCCTCTGAGGGTAGCCTATAGACAGGAGGGTATTGGTATTACAGCACTATGTGTGAGTGACAAGGTTTGTCACTGAGAGTCCTAAGGCAGAGTGAAGTCAGCCTAGTGGCAAAAGAAGCCCCAGAACTGGGCAGGGGGGGGCGGGAGGCAGGTGACAAGGACAAGTCACTTCTGCTATCCTCCCCCTATACTGGTCAGGCCTTGGATTTTTGGCAGCATGGTAGGGAGATTATGTTCTCTCTTCCCTGCCTGTCTTTTCAGGCTATACCCTCCCATAATGGTTGTTAGGGCATCAATCTGATGGCTGTTAATAACAAGCATCTTTCCTGGGGTCACTGTGACCACAGTGTGGAGGGAGAGGGTACTAGAGCCGTCTAAGGACACTTGTGCTGAGTTTCAGCCTGTGCCTGTGAGATTCAAAGTCTTACTGTGTACCCTAGGCAAAGCGTTTTCCCTTGTGAGCCTCTGTAAACTCTTGGTAAGCTGCAGAGAATCCAACCCCATTGTCCTGGGCTCCATGAGGCTTGACATTTGAGGTTCGCAGTACAGCTCTGGACCCAGAGAAAGGACTGAGAGCAGGCTTGCTCTCAGTGTCATGGGCCTGCATGCAAGATCAGGGACTGGAGCCCGGACAGAGAGACTTCTGGTCTCCCAGCTCTGGAGCCTAGAAGCCAAAGCCCAAGCAGGGCAGGGCTGGTTTCTCCTGAGGCCTCTCCTTGGTTTGTGGGTGACATCTTCTCTCTGTGTATGTCTGTGTCCTGCTCATTTTGTCAAGTATCAAGCAGCACCTGTTTTGAACAATCCATTTAATCCCCTAGAACCATCCATTTATCTGTCTTTTTCTTCCTTTCTGTTCCCCAGTCCTTTCTTTCCTTCCTTGAGACAGGGCTCCATGTAGTTCACGGTCATCTCAAACTCCTCGCTTAGCCAAGCATAGTCCTGACCTTGTGTTCTTCCTGCCTCCATCTCCTGAGCACTGGGATTACAGGTGTCATTCTGGCTGGCATATGCCATTGCTAGGGATAGAATCAAGGGCATTGTACATGCTAGGCAAATCCCCTACTGACTGAGCCATACTCCAGCCCCTGCCTGTTGTTCACACACAGTAACAGTGCCCAGTAGAAAAGGAAACAAGATCCCCCTCGTTATCCCTCCAGTGGAGCTCTGCAGCTGGGGCTCTGGAGACTGATACCTGTGGTTGTTTTTCTCACCGTAAGTGTGACTTACTGTTCAGCAATGGGAAACCACAGAAAATAGTGCCTCTTATCCATGGGCATGAGTTGAAAGGACAGTCACTACATTTACACATATGCACACCAATAGCCTTCACCAATTAGAAAGCTTAACCCGTTGTCAGGGCAACCATCCAAGGCCTTTGCGCAGAGAAAGTAACTCCATGAGCTATTTGGCAACCACTGTTTGCAGCAGGCAACTGCTAGGCTATTGGGACCCAGGTAGTACAGGAGCCTGAGGAAAGAGAGGACCACTCAGAACCAGGTGGCTTCCTATCAAGCACTGAGGGCTGGGTGAAGATAACCAAGAGGACAGGTGAGTTAGGAAGGGCACATTATTTCTGGTTATCAGAGCAGATACCTGGGACTACAGAGTGAGCATGTGCACAGTGGGACATTGCCCATGAAGGCTGGGCAGAATGAGCAACAGCAGCCAGGTGGTCCTCACCTGAGCCAGCATGGTGGCTCACAGCATCTCACAGTGAGTGCATGTGGACCACGCCCCAGCACCCCATCAAATGCTGCTCTTCTGTACTTGCTCAAACCTGCTAAGATGAGGAGAGAGAGAACAAGAATGAGAGCAGATGTGGTTGTGTGTGCTCATTTGGTGTGGATGAGGTGAGTTATACTAGTGTGTGTGTGTGTGTGTGTGTGTGTGTGTGTGTGTGTATGTCACACATACTTGTGTAAGTTTGTAGGAGTCAGTCTTGGTATGCAAGTAGGTGTGCCAATATGTGGGGATGTGTTGTGAATCAGCAGGTGTGTGTTATAACGTGAGTGTGGGTGTAGTTGTTGGTGTATCCCCCCATCACCTTAGAAAGACACACTCTCTGTGCGTCCTTAATGTGCAGGCATACCTGTGTGTGCACTGATGTGAGTAGTGGATTGTGTGCATGTCCATCTGGGATATATGTTCATGCTATATACCTGTAACCATGTGTGGTTTTAGGCCATAGCCTGAGTCTCATTGTCCGGCCCTGCTTCAATACATTATGGGCACAGCCAACAACCTCAGTGTCTGACCCCAGGGCTATCCCTGTGATCAGGTCCTTGGCCTTGCATCTCTGTCCCACCTCTGCTGGGGGTTGGGTGTGCTCAGACCTCGCTGGAGCCCTGCAAGCCCAGGCCATCGTCACTGATGGCTGTGGAGTTGCTCTTGCCCAGCATGTGACCTCGGTGTCCCCTCCTCTGTTCTCTCCTCCATCAGGCGAAGCTTGGCGATGAGATCCTGGACTACAGGGACTTGGCTGCTCTTCCCAAAAACAAAGCGATCTATAACATTGACCGCCCCGACATGATCTCCTATTCACCCTACATCAGCCACTCGGCCATGGGGGACAGGCAGAGCTATGGCGAGGTACTGATCTTCACCATGTGTTGCATGCTTCCCCCGGTGCTGGCTCTTGTGGACAGTCATTGCCACCACTCTTAGCTTCTTTGCCCCCAGATAGCATGTCCATCTTATTTAAGGCACTCACACTCAATCACGCCCCCTCAGGGAAGTGATTCTGAGAGTGAATGGGAGGTGAACAGAATTGAGGAAAGGGAAGCATACTCTGTGTTTTCCTGACTACTGAGAGCTTTCATGACACATGAAGGGTGTCATCTTCCCTCTCTGGGCCATATGGCCTTGAGCCCATATTCCTAGGCTAGCTCCTCTTCTATGGGTGTCTTGAGCCCATCTCTAGGCTGGTTGAACAGTGTGGGTCATGATTCCCAGTGTTCCTGAAAGTAGGCAGTATCTAGTGGTGGTGTCTGAGAGTAGGCAACTACTATTGGTGATGCCTGAAAGTAGGCAGCATCTATTGGTGATGTCTGGAAGTAGGCAGCATCTAGTGATGTCTGGAAGTAGGCAGCATCTAGTGATGTCTGAAAGTAGGCAGCATCTTTTGGTGATGTCTGGAAGTAGGCAGCATCTTTTGGTGATGTCTGGAAGTAGGCAGAATCTATTTATTGGTGATGTCTGGAAGTAGGCAGCATTTGTTGTATTTTTTTAAAAAAGTGTCTTGAGAAAGACATTATGTGACAAAGTTCAAGTGGAAGGGATTTTTATTAAGGGAAAATGATTGTAAAAGGGGGAAAGGGGATGGAGGAGACTGGCCTCTGGGGACAGGAGAAGTGGGAGAGAGGAGAGAAAGAGACAGACAGAGAGAGAGAGAGAGATACAGAGAGAGACAGAGAGACAAAGACAGAGAGACAGAGAGAGAGAGAGAAGAGGGGGAGAGAAAGAGAGAATAGAGGGATGAGAGATGGGCATGGCCCTTTTAAAAGAGAATATAATGAATAGGCACAGGTGGTGCTCTTAGTGGCAGCAGCTTAGAGCATATCTTGTCAGAACTCCAAAGGCAGGCCAGTACAAATGCCTAAATACTAACACCATCTATTGGTGAAGTTTGTAAGTAGGCAGCATCTGTTGGTGAGTTCTTATTCTGGACGCCTATTTCCACTGAATGCAGCAGTGAAACTGTTGAGTTTCATTTTCCTTTTGTCAGGAGGTCTTAGTGTGACTTTGACTGTGTGTGGAGCTCAGAACAGATGCTCACCTGGAGCAGAAAAATGTTTTACTCCTTTTTGTAAAAAATAAATTTCGAGACAGGGTTCTCTGTAGACCAGGGTCGCCTCAAACTCACAGAGATCTGCCTGCCTCTGCCTCCCACGTGGTGGGATTAAAGGCATGAGCCACCACTGTTCAGCAAAATGGTTATTACTAACATATGCCCCTTTGACTCCTTTCTGTGGCTTCAGCAAGGCCTTGTGGGGAGTGAGGGCTAAGACCTGGGGCATTGTACATACACATAGTGTTGAGTTATTCAGCTTGGCCCTGCATGGGTCATAGCTGCCAGGCAAGCCTGCAGGCTTTGAGGACCACTCAGGGACCGAGAAGACCAAAGGGACCAGCAGGTGGCCCTCCTGGTGTGCATGCCTGAGGAGGGGGTCACCAGCCTTGTGGCTACTGCACCAACCACCATGTACCTGAGCTGGGTGTGGGCTTCACCATCCCATATCTAACCTTTGGGCAGCAGGCAACTGAAGAGGGTCAGAGGCCAAGCACCTGGACTGTATTTCTCTGAGATCCAAAGCTTTTCTCCCCTACAGACCATCTACTGGCTGATTCCTTGGCTGATCCTCAGGGACATGGAATTCAAGCTAAGGGTGGGTTTAAGTCCTACTGCCCTCAGCTTCAGGATGCCACCAGGGCTCTCCCTGACTGGAGCTTTGGCATTCCTGCATTGGCTTCAGGAAGCCATGGTGGGAAGGACTGCAGTGGGCAGCGGGGATATAAAGGACCACAGATTGTTGACAACTTTGTCCTATGTCCGTGGGTCACACAATGTTGCTGCTCATGTGTGTGGCATAGAGTTGTGGACACAGTCTGGAAACCTCTGAAGTTTCTTTCAGTATCTGAGACCATATAGCAGGATCCATGTGACCCACAGATAGTCTAGACTTAAGGGCCTGTCCCTTAGATGGCAGTGGGACACATGGGAGAGTCTGTATGTGGCTCAGGAGTCACCCTCTACAGGATCTGCTCAGCCACAAGCTTGTACCTTCTGACTATACTGCCTGCGAGCCCTGCCTCAGCAGAGGTCAGTACCAGGCTGTCCTGGGGAGGAAGGGGTGTTCCCACTAAAATGCTACTTCCTCCTGAGGCCCCAGATGGTGCATGGTAGGGCAACATAAAATAGAAAACCATCCAGGTAGTGTTGGTACACACCTTTAATCCCAGCACTTGGGAGGCAGAGGAAGGAGGATCTCTGTGAGTTCAAGGCCAGCATGATCTACAGAACAAATGCCAGGATAGACTCCAAAGCTACACAGAGAAACCTTGTCTCTAAAAACCAAAATAAATAAATAAATAAAAATAAAATAGAAAACCTCAGTGTTCTTGTCAGGTACATCACACAGAGTATCCAATGGCTTCATTACTGCCCCGTCCCTCTGGACCGTTCTCATGAGCAGAGTTTTCATTTCTGTCCCTGCGATCAGGCCCAGGCCCTGGGAATGATTTTTCCCAGTTATACCCAAGAAAGACAAGGCCAAGTGAGGCACAGCTAGGACTCACATGGGCCCAGGTAAGTTGCCTCTGGACCCTGCTCTCTGGATGTCCTGAACGAGGTGGAAGAGCCATCCTTCTAGAGGAGAGGAGCCAGTGACTAGAAACATAATATGGGACTGGAGCCACCACTCTGAGCCTCTGTCTCCCTGCTCTCTCCCGTCCTGTGGTCCTAGCCACCCCATCTGTCCTCCCAGAGAAAATGAAAGGGATGAGCCCAGTGGGTATTGCCACAGTGGTCCCTGAACCAACAGCTTTGTTTTTGAACTCATGGTCTCTGTAAGAGTAAAGACGGGATCAGGTGGCTTGAGTGGAGGAAGGCGCTGGGCCAAGCAGCACCAAAGCCATCTCTTGTGGGGGGTCTCTTTCTCAGCTAGCATCTCAGGTCACTGAATGTGGGTGCTTGTGTTACCTGTGGTTACCAAACATCCCTCTTACCCCAAAGCAACCCCTGGCACAGCGCACTAACAGACGGCTCTGTTATGTCCACAGTCGCCTCAGTTGCTCTCACCAACGCCGACTGAGGTAACCGCCACCTATGCCTGTGCCCTGTGTGCTCATGGTGCTACCACCTGCAGGGTTATAGAGATGACCAGCATGGCACCCTGAGGGCCACAGGGCCCTGGCCACATCACAGGGAGGGGGCCCCTCCTGCTGGTTGTTTTTATAATCACATCTCATCTGCATGTTCCCCCATGTGTGTGCAGACAGGACTTCACCAACAGTGGGGATGTGGTGTTGCCCAGCAGCCCTTGGCCTGGGTCATGGCTTCCTTGGGTCTGCTGGGGTCTACTTCTTGCCCCCAACTAGGTATACAGGAAGCTCTGGGACCTTGGGGCTGAGCATTCTCTGAGAGCTGTGCTATCAAATGAGCTCGGTAGTGCTCCAGGGCTTCTTTCTTCAGAAGCAGTGGTGCAGATTGTGGCCCCTCAGACTCTAGGCCATGTGGCAGAGCCAGGGCTGGGGAGGGCATAGCGGCTCAGCACACTTTTGAGTTTCCTCTCTCTGTGCTGGACACTGCTGCAGTCGTTTTATACCTAATTCTTTTATCCCAGAACGTCACCCAGAGGTAGCTTCCAGGAGTTCCCCATTTTACCAATGGGGCAACTGAGACCCAGAGGTCAAGTAACTGGGGCCATTTGCTTCCTGCCCTCCCCATCCTTGGGGAGTGTCCCATTCCATCCCATAGAGCTGGTTCCAAGAGTGAGGATCTATCTCCTCATCGTCTCAGGCTGAACAATGCTTTGCACTTCTTGTAGCTTTAGAAGCAGGACCTATGGCAAGAGACCTTGCCTGTCCTTCCACTACCTCCTCAGCCTGTCTTCTTAGAAACTATGCCTTGAGCACTGTGGGGACCCTGGTGCTGTGAGATGCTTGGGATTGAGATGAGGCTAGGATGGCTGGCATGACCCAGGCCACCAGGCTTCATTGCCGAGGGATGGGCAGTCTGATTCTTGAACCATGGTGCCATGCCATCTCATGCTGCTGTCGCCTGTTCTGGCTGCTCTCAGAAGCTTCTCTTCCTGCTAAGATAGGGTCAGTGTCCTCAGTGCTTTTTGTGGGTCTTGTGCTGGCTTCTGAGCACCAGAGGGCACCTCTGCACCTCAGAAGATGCCCTAAAGCGTCTAGCACCTCCCTCACATGTGAGGAGAATTTCAGTGTTCTCAAACTGTTCCAGGGGTCCAGAGTGCTGGGGAAGGCTAAGAGGGAGGGAATGGGTGGAGTCCTTTCACCCCATCCCAGAGGGTCCAATGGACAAGAAGGGTGGATGTTCAGTGGGCCCATGGTCAGACCAAGGGACTTGCTATGGCTCAGACCCACCTTGCTGTCCAGATGTGCTCTGTTTGCACTCTGAGTCCTGTTTTAGGGCTGTGTTGTTTCTGACCCTGGGATCTAGAGGGCAAATCCAGTGGGGTAGGTGAAGGGCAAGCAGTGCTCCTGATCTAGGTGCTCTCACACTGTCTTCCCACCCAGGGGGATCAGGATGATCGGTCCTACAAGCAGTGCCGGACCTCCAGCCCCAGCTCTGCTGGCTCCGTCAGCCTCGGGCACTATACCCCAACATCACGATCACCCCAGCACTACAGTCGACCAGGTATTTATCCCACACCCTGCTTCCCTTGACCCCCGATGAGGCCTTACTTCTCAGTGAATTTGCTGATATAAAGTAGCTTCTTTATTCATTGAGAAAAGTGACAAAGTTGGGGGTGGGGGGATACCAGTGGGTGGTCAATGGAGAGTCACTTAGCCATAATGAAAAGGACTGCCTCATGCCTAGCAGCAGACAACCTTGAGGCAGATGGTCACCCTGGGGCTAAGTAGCTGTCTGCATCCACAGTGCACATCCTGAGAAGCATATAAGCATATAGCCCCAAGGCCCACGCAGAACAACCAGAGTGGGCTTCTGGCTATAGTGACAGAGCAACCAGGTTGTGGAATAACACATGAGGCAGGACACCAAGTCACAGCCTGTTGTGAGCCCACAGGAGTTCGGGAGGGCTTGAGCTGAGGAGTCAGGGTCAGTGGCTACAATACACAGTCAGGATGTCTAATGCTGTACCTATAACTCAGTTACCCTAGAGACAGCCATCCTAATAAAGAAGTTGGCAAAAGGCCCCTATGTCCTTCCAAGCTGGGAGAGAACCCTGTGCGGGGCCTCCCATCCTGTTGCCTCATTCCCCCCACCCCACCCCCAGTTTGCATTGTCTTCCTCAGCTTTGAGTTGGCATGTGAAAGCCACAGGTACCATGCACAAAAGCAACGCCTTTTGGAGGGATTTTTCCAGCCTGCGTCTCCCCTTCCAGCTGTGCATGACCCATTTTCACATTTATGAACCATAGCTCTTATTTTTGAAAACTTTGTGGAAAAATCAACTTAATTGTTTGCAATCATTCTCATTGATTCCTTGCAATATGCCTGGTCCCTCCTGCTCAGCAAGTGTGAAGGAAGAGGGTGAGTGAGTGTGTACATGAGAGACAGTGATGAATGAGTGAGTGTCTGAATGAATGAGTGAGTAGGCTAGTGGATGAGTAAGTGAATGAATGAAGGGATGAGAATGAGATGAGAATGAGCCAGTGAGTGAGTGAATGAAATAGTGAGTATCTGAATGAGTGGGCTAGTGGATAAGCAAATGAGAGAGGGAATGAGTGAGTTAATGAATGAGTTAATGGGTTAGTCAGTGAGTGAATGATTGAGTGAATGGTAAGTTAATAGTTACTGTATGTATGAGTGAATTGAGTGAATGAGTGAGTGAGCGAATGAGTGAATGATTGAATAAATGAATGGAGATGAGTGAGTGAATGAGTGAATGAGTGAGTGAGTGAGAAAATGAACAGATGAGTAGGTGTGTGAATAGAAGTGACTTTCTTGAGCCCTTCCGCTAAGGCCCCTTGTGACTTGACCCCTGACTTTGCATCCCCAAGAGGGGCTGACTGCTGATTGCTTGGTCAGGGGTAAAGCCTACAGGGCCAAGCTTTATATCTGGAAAGTGCCATGAGGATGCTGGTGACAGACCACTCCCTGACCTCTGGAAGCTGCCCTCCCACTGTTCTTGATGTCAAGGACACCCCGGAGTGAGCCACAGGCAGGACCAGAGGCTGTGTCCTAAGCCCTGGCTGCCACCCTGTGTCCCAGAGGCAGCATCTCCTGATCCCACCTAGAGGAGAATGGCCCACAGCCTGCTGGGTGACCCTCTTCAGGTGCCCCAGGAGAGCAGAGGGACAATGTCCCTGGCCAAGTGGGGACTAGGACAAGTTGGTGGCTCTGGGGTAGAGGAGCCCAGGGTTACTGACTGCTCTCTGTTGCCCGCAGCTGGTACTGTGAGTGTTGGTACCAGTAGCTGTCTGTCCCTGTCCCAACACCCAAGCCCTACATCCGTGTTCAGACATCATTACATCCCCTACTTCCGAGGTAAGGCGTGCAGTGCACAGCGGGGGGTGCTCGTCCCATGTCTCAGCATGGCTTCCAGAGCCCTGTGTCTCATGCCTGTGTTCCTCCTGTGTTGTGTGTGTCTGGCTCTAATTTGTCAGTGTGTACATGTTCCTGGAAGGAGCAGGGTGATTTGTCACTAAAAGTGTAGCTGGAGGGAGCATGTCAGTGAACACCTTGCTCCATGCTTAGGGCCTCATTGGAGTTGTTGTACACTCTATATGGTGGGGTTCTGTTAGTGTCAGCCTTCAGCAGCAGGAGCTAAGGTGTGGAGAGTTGGTGATGTCCACAGTCTCAGACCCCTGGTGGCTGGGCCAGGACTCAACCCAGGTGGCTCTAACCCTTGGCTCTTTCCAGGATGCAGAACCAGTTATTATCCATGTCCTGTGACCCATACACATGAATTCCATGGGAGACACCCTTGTGATTTTCTTCATGCTAAGATTTGAGTTGTGTATACCCCAAGTTCACATATTGATGACCAAACCTCCATATAGCAATGTTTGAAGAAACAAAGTGAAGGCAGCAATAGAGGTAGAGTGAGGTCACAAGGTGGGACTCTTATCCACTGGGACTGGTGGCCTTGTAAGGTGAAGAGGATGCCCTGAGCATTGTCCACACATTTAGGATCAGTGAAGAGACCTTCAATGAGGCAGGATGAAACACCACCAAAATAAAACAAAGACAACAACAACAATAATACCAAAAAACCACTCCTGGATTTTGATCATGACTCTAAAAGTATGAGACATGAGAGGCTGAAATTGATATAGGCCCTGAGCTGTAAGTTTTGTTACACAGCCCACCTGATAAAGATACCAACAAATGACATCTAGGGAATTAGAAAACACAACAATGATTTCCTCAAGAGTCTTTGACTCTTACAGCCATGCAATGGGTACCCATGGAAGGCTCATTCTCACAGGGCGCAGGCACAGCTGACAGCTCCTGTCATTAGCAGTCAGTAAATGACCTATTCTCCTTCATCTTTACTCTCACCCTGGCCTCGCTCTTAGTCCACTGAGAAGAGCCCTTGGCACTATCATGTATTCCTTGCCCTCATGGGCTCTCCACACATCCCAGTCTCTAGTAGGAGTTGAGTTTCCAGTGAAGATGTCAGCCCCAAATGGCACATCCTCAGCACAGCTTCAGGGGCCTCAATACATGTGCATTATATGTCTATGGGAGTCTCGAGTGAGGGGTACTCCTGGAACCTGGAGGGAGCCTGACTGATTGACTGCCATGAGGACTCAGACTGCACAGTCTCATGTCTTTCTTTCCTTTGCTTAATAGCCCTGGGCATAGTTTTCCTCCTGTCTGTGGGGCCCTGCCTTTGGTGGATCTGTTATACTCTGGGTCCCTGGTCAGCCTGTGACCAAAGACAAGAGCACATGCTAGACATTGGCTGTTGCTGCTCCTCTTCTTAATGGGAACAGGAACCCACAGCTCTGCCCTCCAGTTGACTTCCATGGGAGGCTGTGACCTTGAGCTCTCCAGAATCTTTCCAGGACATTCCTTAAGGAGATAGATGAGGGGGTACAGACCCTGAGATCCTTGTGAGGATCATTCTGTTCCCAGCTTTTGGACAGCCAGCTTACCCCTGTCCACAGGACACAGCCACAGCTGTGGAATCTGCCCAGTCTATGGAAAATTCCTCTTTCCCCCATGGGTGCTTTGCAGTATTTGGGACACAATAGAGATACCTCACTGTCTGATGCTGGGTGAGGGCCCCCAGGTAGACATGCCTTCCTGTGCCAGCCCTCTCCTGACCTAGCTATATAATAGCAAGGCCCCTCACTCCCTTCCCTCTTTCCACCTTCCACCTAGCCCAGACATCATACTCTTCTACTGTGTCTCAGTGCTTAGGGTGTCACCGCTCCAAGACCTACAGTTAGGTGAAGGACTAGTGATAGTTACTGGAACATTAGTGTGAATTCTAGACCTTGGTTGGGGTGGTGTAAGGTTTAAATCCAACTCTTACTTGATAAAGGACAGGCTGTAAGGACAGGAGATATAGGTTGACAAGGAGACGCCATGCTGAAGCCACTTTTCTGGGAACTGACTGGAGGGACTTCCATAGACATGAGAAGGAAGGGAGGCAGAAGATCTTAGGGGCAGAGCCTCAGGTCAAAATCCCAGCATGCACTGTGCCCAGTAGGTGATTCTCATTTTGCCAAAGGTCCCCTCTCTCAGCTCTAAAACAGGTCCCTAAGCCCTGGTCCCTCAACCTCAGGATCTGTGGTCAATGCCTCAGAGGAGGTTCCAGGTAGAAACTATACGTCTTGGCTATGGTCCTCAAAGGGCCCTGACACATGGTTGTAAACCAGACTTGCTCTAATGTGACTTTGGGAAAGTTCAACCAGAGGCAATGGCAGCATCTTGGCCATAGCCAGCTGTAACATCTTTAAGGCCAGCTCCAGTTGCAGGATCTTCAAGGCTAGATTCAATTGCAATAGCATTCAGGCTAGAGCCAACTACAGCATCTTCAGGGTCAGAGTCAACTTCAGCCATGGCAACCATAGTTGGAGAAAGAAAATAAATGATGAGTCACTGGACTCATAGATGACACAATGTCCACAAATGTATACTGAAAAGACCAGCTAAATAAGAGCATTTGGGAACAACTTCTGCACAAAATTTGTGGAGGTAATGGGTCACAGAGGTAGTCAGGACTCCTTCCAATGCATAACCAAGTGCAGGCTATATAATATTTTGAGCTGCATCACCCCTAGGCAAGGCCATAGCTGCAACTCCAAGTTCTGCAGAAAGCAAGTTAAGTGCCCTGGGGGAGATCTGACAGGGATAACATGCCACCTCTGTGCTTTCCTCCTAAATACATAACCCCTGTTTCTCCCAGTCCCAGGTGAGGGACATTCTATACACCCCTCCCCCTGCCAGTGTTCTAGGAACTGTTAGGATCTGTGACAAGGGATGCTGGTCACAGCTGGGAGACATCAAGATGTGACCATGGGTATAGTGTAATGTCCTGGGTGGTGCTGAGACAGAAAAAATCTCAAGTAAAAGCGGGTGAAACTCAAATAAAGTATAGTTAATATGACACAATGGTTCCAGGTCCTAGGGATGTCAGAAGTCTGAAGTGGGCCCTAGGTGAGGAGGGTGGTGCCTTCTAGAACCATCTAAATCCATTCCAAAGCAAAATATTGACTTAAACTAAAAGAAGTCATGGGCCACACCAGAGCTAGGGCTGCCCAGTCCTGTACAGGGTCTTTCCCTGGATGGTGTCAGAAACACCCTGGATATGAAACCTTCAAAAATAGCCATGAGCCTGGACAAAGGAGCTTTTGTCCTTGGGGCCTGGGCACCTCATCACAGAGGCCCAGTGGGAAAGTTGGCTTCCAAGTAGTGTGCCCAGCTCACATAGCATAGTTCCTTGCCCTCCTCAGGAACTGACAGAGATGGTGCCCACTGTGTGGGATTGACACAGGCACACCATAAGAGCACACAGCAAAACTCCAGGCAGGTCTGTGGGATAGAGTTCAACAGGATGTTTTCTCAGCTACACGAGACAGGCAAGCATGCTTGCAGAAAAGGGAAAGGCCCATGGTGGCCTTGGTCTCCTGAGGATTTTGTCAGCCAGGTATCCTCTGAGTCTGAACCCAGGAAGATCTAGACAGTTTGGAGCCTGGGAAGGGCCTTGAAGGTCAGGCAGGGTGCAGGGAAGACCTGGTGGTGGTGTCCCAGGCAGGGACCAAGGTGGCTTGTGTTGACAGGGTCCTTGTGGGTCATCAAGGCTACCACACTGCACCTCAACTCCCTTGGTCTTGGCCTCTCTGAACAACTGAGAAACTGCAGCCCCTCCTATAGTGAGTGCACACATGTGTGGAACTCTCATTTATCATGTCAGGGAACATCACATTGTAGGCCAAACTCTGAAGAGGACAGGAATGTTGGACAATTATTGATTCCTCAGTCAGATGGGTGAGGGTAACAGAAATGACCATGGAGTCGAGACAGAAGAAAGAAAGGCCTGGTCATGTGAGGTTCTAGGCTCAAATAGGCCAAGCCACAGAAGCTGAGCTCAGGGATGTCAGCCCTCAGGGACAGTCTTCAGCCAGGGTGGATTGTCTATGGGTGTGTTTTCAGAGCTGTCATGTCTATCATGACTTAAGTGTCACGTGGAGTCATGGCATCTTACATAGAAGGAGCCTGTGGTTCCCTCCTTCCTCAGCCGAGGCCCCTAGTACTGCTAGGAAGAACAGAAGCTCGATGGATGCAGCCTATCAGAAGTCTCTATGCAGCTCTAGAACAAAATCTTTTAGTTCTCCAAAGCTCCATCAGTGTTTGCAGGAGAAATCAGTGACCACACTCAGGCAGGAGAAGACACCCAAAGCAGGAGTCATTGGTGGTCTTTGGTGGCCCTCCCTGCCTGTGTGTGATGCCCTTGTTGTCTCCAGTCCATCCAGACCTGGCTTCTGTCCCATTGGTCCTACTGCTTGATCTTGCCATTCAAAGGCATAGTTCTCGAATCTAGAGAGCCTGTTCCTTGCCAGGCAATCAGCTACTGCCCTGCAGAATTCCCCACATGTAATGGAAGGGAACAGTTGTGCCTTAGGGTGTCCTGCTGTGAGCCGTGCTCCTCATCATTTGTCGAGTGCCACTGTGTTCTATCCATCACATCCTGCATTGGTGGGAGGTGGGGCATCCACCCAGGTCACCAGTTGTCTGATGGGTGATTTGATCATCCATCCTTCTTAATAGAACACAAAACATAGCTCCAGCTGAGGCAGAAGTTGGAGAAAGCAAAGTACCTTTCTCATTTTGCCAGAAACAGCTTGTATCTAGGAAGTTGCTGGATGTTGATACCCAGTCTCCTACATGCGCAAAAATGCTTTTTGACCCATTCCTGCACCTTAGTCCCATTCTCCCAGTTAATTGGTGGAATCTCAAAGCAAGTAGGACCTTCCTGCTTTAACTACATCAGGGAGGCAGGAACTGTGAGCCTGCAGTGGGTGGTCACACCCTATGAGCCTGGGCCCTCCCACTGCCCACACACTAACACTCGGTTGGCCCTCTAATCACTGCCCCTTTGTCCCCTCCACTCCCTGGAGCCAGGAACACTGTAGGCTGAGACAGAGGCCATAGAGCCCAGGCTGGCAGACTCAGGTGTGGGCTTCCTTCAGGCAGGAGAGAGGGGGTTCACTGCAGACCAGCTCTTTTTGCCTGAAACCATCTGCTTTGCTTTCTTACCCCTCATCTGCTGCCTCTGCTCTTCCGTCTGGAGGCAGCGAAAGTGGCCGTAGCACCCCAAGTCTCTCGGTGCTCTCCGACAGCAGGCCTCCTTCCTCCACCTATCAGCAGGCGCCGCGCCACTTCCACGTCCCAGGTAGGTCCCCGTGTGCTTGTCGGTTCCTCATGCACCATTGTGGCCACACCCAAGTTGTCAGAGCATCCCCAAACACTAAGTTTCCTTAAAAGTTACTCCATGGAGTAGGGTGTGGTGGTGCACACCAGTTATTTCAGCACTGAGATGGTAGAGGCAGGAGGATCACAAGTTCAAGGCCAGCTTGGACTAGAAAACAAGATTCTGCCAGGTGGTGGTGCACACCTTAAATCCCAGCACTCAGGAGGCACAGGCAGGTAGATCTCTCTGAGTTGCGGCCAGCATGGTCTACAGAGTCATTTCCAGGACATCCAGGGCTGGAAACCCTGTCTTGAAAAATAATAGTCAAAATGAAACACACACAAAAAGAAAAACAAAAAGATTTTATTCCCAAACAAACAATACAAAACCCTAATGCAATGGGTTTGCATATCCCCCCAATCTGACACATGCTTGAGTTTTTCTCCAAGTCTCACAAATACTGAGAAAAAAAATTTTTTTGTTCTGGGTCAAGGGTTGGAGGAACGGGGTTAAGTTAGCTGCACTCCCTGTGACCTAAGGTTCTTGCTTGCCAACTTCCCAGTCCACCCTCTCTCTGTCCCCTTCCCATCTGAGGTGGTGTCTAGACTAGGGGATGCTTGATGGAGGTGTGGGCTTCAGCCTCGCCTACTTGCTGTTTTTGAACCTTTCTGGTGATTCCAGGCTGGGTGAGCCAGGAGCTAACAGAAGTCATTGGGTGGAGAGCATCGCAGCCGCTTCCCTGCTTCCCCTCATGTTCTTTCCTTCTCTTTCCTTCTTCTTCCCAGACACTGGCGTAAAAGATAACATCTATAGGAAACCCCCTATCTACAAACAGCACGGTATGGTTGGTCTGACGGACTCTGCTGCCGTGCTTTGCCTGCATGCCTGTTGCACCCTTGCTTCTGAATGCTCCTTTTGCTGTGTCCTGATCCGGGGCTCGGGGAGGCCCTGCTGGCTGAACATTAAATGCACACTCACTAGTAGGCTCCTGGGAGGTCTCTCTTCACAAGAGAGGAGACATGTGGAGAGGCTGATGCATGGCATCTGGGGCTGGGGTGCATCTGCTAGAATTAAGAACCTTTATTTTGTGTTTTTGATGCTACCATGAGGGCCCCAGCCGAGATGGTGAGGGACTGGGGGCTTCTCACCTATGCCCTGACATAGACCTGATTTTTGGAAACTAATTTTGAAGCAGTCACAATTTATGGAGACTTTAGGCCCTGTCTTTTGAGAGTATCTGTGCCCTTAGCTATTGAGGTTCCTTGCATTGTGTAGAAGCTAGAGATGGCTGGCAGCAAGAGTGTCTCTATCACTTTGACCCCCATATCTTCTCCACATGAACTTACCTGGGCCAGATGTGCAAGGAGATTGCTTGGGCTGTGGAGCAGGACTCTAAACGAGTCAGGATTGGGATTTCTGGGTGACCGGGGCAGGTCACCTCAGCACCGTGAGCCTCGGTTTCCTCATCTGCAAACCAGTCTACTACCTCCTCACTGCCATTTCCTTCCCCTTGCCCTTCCTGTCATTCCTCTGGGGTTGGGCATGAGATGTTCACAGAAGAATGAGAGTGGGGACAGTTCTAAACCTTAAAGGGCTGTGCACAATGTGGAGACTGTTATGTCGTCACTAAGATGGGAGGGAAGAGAGATTCCCATATGAACAGCTCTTTTTTTCGGGTGTGTCCAAGGAAAGCACCGCCTTCCCACACTGACAAGTGGTAGCCAGCTTATTGGAGGCCTGCTGTGTGGGGTTTTATTCCTCAGTGGTGGTGAAAGGCCCTGTGCTTTGTGTCTTTCCTCCTCCTCTCAGAAGGAAAAAAAAAAAAAAAAAAAAAAAAAAAAAAAAAAAAAAAAAAACATAAAAAAAAAAAAAAAAAAACATAAAAAAAAAAAAAAAAAAAAAAAAAAAAAAAAAGGAATTGAAGTCCTGGTTTCCAGAATCCAAATAGAGAGCACACATCTTTCCAAGGCATGGGTGTGGGCAGTTAGACTGACACCTTTACCCAGAACAGAATCCTAGTGTTAAAAGTGGGGAAACTGAGGCTCAGTCAAAGGAAGAAGCACCCCATTAGGTGACCCCTACAGTACCATGCTGGATAGCTTTCAAGGAGGGCCATTTGTTCTGTACCCCCTAGAGCCCAGGACAAAGATTGGCTCATGGGGCCTTAATTAGCCACTGCTGCCTCTGTGTCACACTTGGCACCTTAACTATGTGGTTTCTACTCATGGTCAAGGCCTTGGCAAAGGGCAGCATTAGAAAATCACTTTATGTAACTGACCAGCAGTGTCAGACTGAGACAGAGTGCTGGGGTTCAAATCCTTTACCTGAGCCCCTGGGAGAGATCAGGTTCACAGTTCCCAGGCACGAGCCTTGTAGTCTAGACATAAGACACTCGCCTGTCTGCAGGCAACTCCAGCTTGAAGGCACCTGAGCAGTTAGTTACCCAAGCCTGGGATAATTCATGTTGATTCTGTGAAGAAGCAGATCTTAGAGCAGACTGCCTTGGCCAGGCATTCGGCAATGCAAACTCATGACAGGAATGCAGTGAGCCATGCAAACTGCAAGTGACTAGAAAGCTTTAGCAGATAGAATCTTTTTAAAGACCTTTGGGAAATACAGATGTGCAGGAGTGCCTTGGTTTCCAGTTTATGCACTGAGAACTTTGGTATTCTCAAGGTCTCCCCACCCTGACTGCATGTGAGAATGTGTGCATGCATGTGTGTGCATGCATGCCTCTGTGTGTGTGTGTGTGTGTGTGTGTACACACGTGCGTGCACGCGCGCACGTGCTTACTTGAGCCTCCAGCCCACCCCCCCACACACACACACACCAAGCACTTGCTCCATCAAGGCAACCTGACCACAGGTCTTCCCCGAGGAGCTCTGGAGGCCGATCTAGGCATGAGCAGCATTATTTTAATCCTTTCTCCAGCATGAAACAGCCCCTGGGGATGACAGTAAATCACAAGACCATTCTATTAGCTTAAGATCCTATATTTAACATGTTGAAAGCAGCCAAGCCTTTCCCCAGATGATTTGCTCCAAGTGTTTAACTATGAAATCACTGGACATGGTAGCTGCTGCTGATAGTGTTATTTTTCTCTGATGCCTGAGTCTCATTCCTGCTTCTGAGAGCTATGAGGATGGGTGGGACTCTGTACCCACTGGGCAGAGGTGACACTTGGGGTGGAAGGCAAGATGCTTTTGAATCTACGGGGCAATCATTAATGTGCAGCTGACCTCTGACTTCTTCACCTGCAGCTGTCTTTTCTTTTCTTTTCTTTTTTTTTTTTTTTTTGGCATTTTGGGACCTGACTGTATTTCTATAACATTTAAGTTCTACTTGCTTATTGTTTACTGGTTGTTTTAAAGAGGAAGAAAAGTAGAAGGTGATGAAAAAGGGAGTAAGCAGGGGCAAATGATAAGAAACCTCTGCATACCACCAGACATTGCAAGATTATGACCTGTAGCACCTGTCAGGCAGGAGCAGGCAGAGGGGCTTGGCAGATGCTTGAGACAGAAGCTTCAGGATGGTCTGCAGCTCAAGAGCATCTATCTGTGGGCTGTTTGTATCTCCATGTGAAAGTGGAATCTCATGCCTGCAAATATACACACCAGCACACACACACACACACACACACACGCACGCACGCATGTAAACTCACCTGCACACACACACACACACATACACACCTATATGCACACATAAACCTGCATATACACAGACAGACAGACAGACAGACAGACAGACAGACAGACACACACACACACACACACACACACACACACACACACAGTGCACATAAACATACACCTGCATTCTTATCTGCATCCAAACTTGTCACCTTGGGGAGGCAGTTATGGGTAAAAACACAACTGTCCACATCTAGCTGCTTAGCAGAGAGAAATGCTTCCTTCCTCAGGGCTCATTCCCTGCAGAAAACTGGGATTGGGCCTTATGCCTCATAGAGCTTGCAGACAGTTTATGAAAATGGCAGAGCGGCTTGAGCAGAAGGGACTCTCTGGAGGCAGTCTCTCAAAGGAAGGAAGGCATCCATTTTTAGACCGTTGTTTAGTTTGTTTTCCTGTTGCTGTGATAAAACACCCTTATAAAAGTGACTGAAGTAAGAGGGTTTATTCCAGTTCACAGTTCAGGTGTACCATCCCCCTTGGCAGAAAGGCCATGGCGGCAGGAAGCAACTAGTCACATCACATGCTCCATCAGGAAGCAGAGTGTTGAAGGAAAGTGATCAGCTAGTCTTCTCCTGTTTATACAGCTCAGGGAGAGGTCACCTACATTTAGTGTGGGTCTTCCCACTTCAATGAATGTAATCAATACCACCCTCCCTCCACGGGCATGCCCAGAATCTAATGATTCCTCATGGATGTGGCTGGAGGTTCATTTCCCAGGTGGTTCTGTGTCCTCAGAGGTTGACCCTTTGCAGTGACCATCACAACTAAGGCAAATAGTGCTTCTTCAAAGATCTCCTAGACAGTTTGACTGTCCAGGTCCAGAGTGGAGCTGCTGCATTTCACCAGGTTTGCATTTGATGTCTAAGCAGGTGTGAGCATGACACAGACATGCATGAGTGGTGGGGCCTGGCAGGCAGAGGCCCCTTCTGCAGCTTTTCCCATACCACAGCAGCAGGCTGAAGGTGCTTATCTGGCCACCCATGTTCTCAGGGCCCCCATCCTAGTAGCACATATTTATTCCCAGTTCTTTGGTCCCTGGTTGAAGATGGGGATGAGGGCTTGCTGTCCTCTTTTCTTTCCTGGAAGATTGAGCCTCACTTTGGTTTGGGGTCCTCTCCTGAGATATGATGAAAGGCCAGAAGTCAGGTAGGCTCAGTGTCCACAAAGAACATTAGTGACTTGGTACCCCCATGGGGCATGTCTAGCAGAAGTTCTTGGGGGGACATGGGACAGGAGTGTCAGGAAGTCAGTCTTTCCAGAGAGGGCTTTTGGCACGGGCCTGTGGGCCTTAGAGGAGCTTCTCTGTGTGGTCCAAGAGACATGATGATTCCCTTTCTCTGGAAGAGGGACAGTGTGTGGGAGTGAAGCCAGTAAGCAGGAGTGTTGGATCTATGGCCCTTCCTCTGATGCCACTGTCAGTTCTGGTAGCAGTCAGCAAACAGATGCCATTCCCCCAACTTCATAGAAAGAAGCCAAGTGGCAAGAGATGCCAGGGGCTTTCACTAATTTATCCAAAGGGTGGCTTTTGATCATCCACTATGTGTTTGACTCTATTTCAGAGCTGGAGACATAGGGATGGCCAGACACAGCCTGCCCTGTGAAGCAGAGTACATAGAATTGCCCCTAGAACATATGACCAAGTATATACTTCTGTGAAGCTGAGAGTCTGTAGCATTGCTCCCAGTGGGTTCACACACACACACACACACACACACACACACACACACACACACACACACACACACGTTTCCTCTCAATGTAATTCCACAGCAATTTAAACTGTACAGGTTGATGGCTGATGAGCACTGGACAAGCTAAGAGAGGTCTTACCCATAGGTCTCATTCTCAAACCCAGTCTGGACCTGAGTAGAGAAGCAAGATCCCCATCCCCACCCTTTTGAAACCCTGAGGTCTAATGAGAGACACCAAGCTCCTAAGCCCCTCCCGTGTGTTCAGAAACTCCTTCTCCTACTGGAGATAGTCCAACCAGCTGTGTCTAGGACCCAGCTGTCAAAGCCTATGCTTGCACTCACGGAGTTTGGCAGGGGTGGCTCTGCACTGATGGCAGATAGAGCTCCAATAGACACCAGAGTTGAGACAAACTGATGGCCACAGACTATCCCTGAACAACCTGGAACAGTCAATGGCCTCCTGGAAGCCAGAGCTGTGGAAGTGTAGGTGCTTCCTACACCAAGGCAAATTGCTTGACTGCCATGGAAGCTCTAGGCTGTGTCCATCCATCTACTTTCTGTGTCTACATATGTGTTGAGGGAGTCACCGGGCATATCAGATGCTGTTGTGACATTGAGCATCTCCTACCTTTGTGGGGAGGCAGATTTGTACACAGGTCCCTGTGAGCAAAGGTGAGGCCCTGTAATTTCTACATCTTGTGGGAGAACAAAGTCAGTCAGTTGAGGCCAAAAAAGGATCATGTCTGCTCTTGTGTTCCTGTGCTCAGGAAGGGGCAGGTGCAGGGGTGAGGCTGAAGGGCTAAGTAGCAGAGGCCCAATATGATGGGGAACAGGGCTGCATGGATGGATGGATGGATGCATTAGAAAACAAAGGAATGGATTGAAGAGGACAAAGAGAGGTATGCATAGGTGGGTGGGTGAATAACTGGAGAACTGTGGATACAGGGGTGGGTGAGTTAGTTAGTGATTGCATGGATGGATAGAAGATATATAGATACAGATATATGGCTTAGTGGATGGGTTAGTGGTGGATGGATGAATAAATAGGTGGGTAGGTTAGTGTATGGGTGGATAGATGGAGAAATTGATGATTGGTGGATACATGAATAGAAGATAGATAGATAGATAGATAGATAGATAGATAGATAGATAGATAGATAGATACTTAGTGGACAGGTGGGTGGGTGGATGGATAAACTGGATAAAATAATTGGTGGGTTAGTGGATAGGAGTAGATATATGAGCAGAAGTATGGGTTAGTGTCTGGGTGGGTAGATAGATGAACAAGGGGGTGGAATATTAAGAGAGTAAGTAGATAGAATAGATGAGCAGCCAGAGGGACACATAAGAAGTCCCTGAGTATGTTCAGATTAAAGTGAATTATAAGAGGGAAGGAGGGAAGAGCTGCCTGCAAAATACCTTCAGGGTTGACCTCTTGAATATTCCTAGCCTTGCAGAGCTGTATTCTCAGACACTTTCACCTGGTCCTCATGAATTAGAGGAGGTAGGGTTGCATTTCCCCATTTTACAAATCAGGAAACTGAGGCTCCGAGTTGTTATGGTAGCAACCACCAACATTGCAAAATGCCTGGTGAGTTTGGCTCTGGTTTGTCAAACTACACACCTGTCACAGTTTGTGGTGTTTACAGAGGACCCTTAAGTCTTCACAGAACATTCCTTTCAGCAAGTGGAGGAGCATTCTGGAGCCCTGGGTAGCATTACGCTAGAGTGTGTTGGCTAGTGTGCCATTTGTGGCTATATGGAATCTTGGAAAACCCGTGGCCCAGGCTGCTGGGGTGGAATTTCACATGCTGAAGAGCCCCTGGGCTGGATTCTCCAGCAAGATGGTGAGGTAGGACAATCAGAGCTTGGAGTGGCCAAGCTTGTCCCTGCACCCTCGCTCAGCTGCTGAAAGTTGGTGCTGGTGATAGCCACATTCAGTGCTACTGCAGTTACAGCCATTGTCCGAGCAAGAGGAGTCACACTGTGTCCCTCTGTTGAGCAGGCCTGGAGTTAGTTTGCCCCTGTATATGGAAAGGGCAGAGAAGGGTTTATTTTCACCTAAAAAAAAAAAAAAATCAGTCTCTCACTGGGAAAACAGACAGCCACAGGGGGGAGATGCAGAGTCCTCATGTCTAGAATGGAAGTACTCAGTCTTCAATTTTGGCCCTGTCTTGTCAAGGTCCTGTAGCCCAGTCCCCAATGTCCAAGCTCTCTGACCTGGTGTCAGTTTTGTCCTTGGTGGTGCAGGAGGCAGGGTGCTCCAAGAGACGGGCAGGGCTGAGCCCACCGCAGGCTGCAGGTAAGAAGCCCGCCTGCTCTGCTCCCTGAGCTGAGCCCTATCTGGGGAGGACCCCAGGGCTTCCAGCAATTGCTGAGTGCATAGGGTTGGGGTAGGTCTTAGTAGGTCTCCCTGCACTGAGTGGGTCCTGAAACATACCAGCATGCCTTGCATGGATTTTTTGTTTATTCCTGGGAAAGGGTCAGCCCAGTGGGATGACAAAATGCTACCAATAGTCTTCTTGGCAAACAAGCTGCTATGGTGTGAACTCTTGCTCCAAGTGAACTCATCTCTGGGTATACTGTTGTTATTTGCTGTTCCTAATGGACTCTTCCCAGTGGCATAGCTCAAGGCTGGGCAGGCAGTAGGTAGTTCAGTGGGAGAGGCAGGGGAGACTTGGGACTAGACTGCCTGAGTTCATGTCACTCTCAGCCCCCTCACTTCCCTTTATGCTGGTCCATGACCTCAAAGCAAGACACCTTCATGAACCTCAGTCTCTCCATCTGTGAAACCAGTCAAATTCCAGTTTTGAAGAGTTCATGATGGGAAAGAGGCAGTGATGCCCAAGAAGCATGCAGCCGTGGGTGACACCAAGGACTCTGAGGCTGAGACCTCCTATCCCTTCAGGGTCTCCCTCCAAAGGTCAAAAGTATGCCTATCCAATCCAAGTAAAAATGTGACCATATCTGAACAAGTGACTCGGTTTCTCCGGGTTGGAGGTATGGCTAGAAGCACAGTGAGGTGTCACTTTGCTTGGGGCATGCCCGCCTTCTGAGCCCCGTCTGCTCTAGTGTGCATTTCTGGCCTGTGAAAGGCATTCATTCTGTTGTCCTTTCCTTTTGTTTTCTTTTGCTTTTGAGCATTATGTAAGGCAGGGCCCCTAGGACAAACATGGTGAGCTGCCTCTACAAACAGATTTTTTCCCTTCCAGCTGCCAGGCGATTGGACGTGGAGGACAGCAGTTTTGATCAAGATAGCAGAAAGGTAATGAGGACCACAGTCCTGCAGGGTGGGATGGCTCCTCCAGCCAGACCTCCTTCTTCTCTTACTGGGCTCCTGGGAGGCCCAAGGTGGGAGCCACACCCACCTTCCTCTTTCTACACTCAAATGAGCACACGTTCTGCCAGTGTCCTGGCTCTGCCATGTATCCAGGTCATGGTTCTGGGACTGAGAGATGCAAACACTGACAAGGAAACAAACCCAGTGCATCCTGGGGTATTTGACATGAAGGGTCTAGAACAGCTTGACAGGTTTTTTTTTTTGTTGTTGTTGTGTTTTTTGTTGTTGTTTTTGTTTTTGTTTTTAATAAACGGCTGGAGAGTAGAATGTAGTAGACCTCACTGATATGCATCTTTGATGTGGCCTTGCTGTGAAAGCAGCCAGAGATGATGTAGGGGTGGGCATCACAGCAGCAGGCTGCGGGCCGCATCTGGCCATCTCTGCAGCTGCATCACAAACTTGTAGTGTCTGAATGAGACAACTTCCAATAGCAAGACTGGTACTAAAAGCAGTGGGGTTGGCTTGTAAGGTGGAAGTACAGAAGCTACTAGAAGGTTCTGGTGGGGTGTTTTCACCATGGCAGATGACCTCAGTGTTCCCATAACTTTCTGTTCCTCTGAAGAAGACAACCTGGCTGCTCCTCAAGGGGGATACAGACACCAGAACGAACTCTCCAGACCTGGACAGCCAATCTCTGTCCCTCAGCAGCGGCGCCGAGCGAGAACCCCTGCAAAGGATGCCTGGAGACAGCCTCTACTCACGTGAGTGGCTCTTCTGATGTGCACTGGAGACTGCCAGCAAAGGACCCCTACTGAGTGGGCCCACAAATCTCAAAGATGCAGCATGTAATCCCAGTATTTGGGAGACGGAGGCAGAAGGATTGCTGTGAGTTTGAGGCCAAGCCTGAGCTGCACAGGGGGACTCTGTCTCAAAAATAAAAATTAAAACAAAACCAAAAAACCACCCAAAGAGCATTCATATGTGAATCAAGCCAACCTAAAGTTCTGAGCCCTGGCTTCACCCACCACTCTCTTGCAGTGACACTGCTAGCTAGTGTGGGCACAGCGCCCCCTTGTGGCTCTCTCAGAGATGGCATAAAAGCAAAGAGAACAGTTCTCAAGCCCTCTTTCCCTGGGGGCAGATGTGGTCATGGTCAGGGGGCAAGTCCAGATCTGGAACTGGTACAAGGCACTGTCCTGGTCCCTGTGACATCCTAAGCAAGGCACTTGAAGATTCCTAGGAGATAAGGCCCTATGTCACAGGCAACAAAGCTGACATCTGTCTAGCCCTGGGGGTGTTGTGAAGCCTGGCTTGGGGGTGATTCTCAAGCATGGAGTAAATTACCCATTGCATTGCCCACTGGGGATGCTGTAGGTCACAGGCAGATCCAGCACAGGCTGCAGGCATATTTAGGCTCTCCCAGAAGCAGCCTCTGGTCTAGCTGGGTAGGGGGTTGCTTTCTATGGCTGTGGTTGGAAGTGGAGGTCATGAGAATCTATGTGGTATGAAAAAAAAATAACCGAGGAAGCACCTGGCATCATGGTGGCACTGACTCTGGGTGAAATCAGGGCTCTCTGATGACTGGCTTATGATAGAGGCCAGAGAGCAAAGCTGACTCTTAGGTCATTAGGTCCTGTTTGTGCAAGAGTGCTTTGGCTGGCCAGCAGCAAACAGCCATGGCTGTTCCCACCCACCTTCCCTCCTAACCATGGATGACACTCTCTGGTCACTGAACACTAGAGGTGCCCTGCAGCGGAGGGAGGAGTGGAGATGAGACAGCTGGACATTGTGACTAACTGGAAATGGATATGTTGTTCTGTATGGGGTCTTTGTAAGCAGATGAGGTTCCTTGGGATCTCAGAGCATGCACACAAGGCTGATGTCAACATGGGAGGCCACACCAAATGGCTCCATAGGTCTAGGTCCTCCTATAGGTTCTTTTGGGAGAAGAAAGAGCTGAAGTCATGGTGAGAGGAGATGGAGATCCCTCGTTACCTGCCTGTGCCTACTGGGGTGCCTTCATACCACCCCTCAGCCCTCTGAGGGGCTGTCCCAATGATCCTCCTGCTGGACATGCACACATGCTTCGTGGTACTTGGGTCTGAGTAATGGAGGCTCCTTCACAGAGCAGAGCTTAGGGGTTGCCCATAGCTCTCACTGCCCTGTGTGGTGTCCTGGCATCCAGGCATTATCTGGGGGCCCAAAATTTATGTTGGTATTTCAGGATGGTGTTTTCCAGTTTCTGGTCTTTCTCCCCATGGTGATCAGCCTGTGCTCTCAGCAATCCCCACTGGAACCTATGGACTGCCTGTGGCTCAGGACTGAGGGGAGCAGGAACACAGTGTGGGAAGAAGCCCAGTTGTAGATGTTACCTCTCAGGGTCCTGCTTCTGCTGTCACTATGCTGTGTGGCCTGTGCATGCACTCTCTACCTCCCTGTAGTACTTTCTCATTGGCTGACGCCAGGACAAGAGTGTTCATCCCAGACACTTTTGAGTGTGGTAGTCCCTGTGAGGCAGGCTGTTCCAAATGTCCACAGTGACAAGGGCTTTCCTGTCATTCCATTCCTCTTCTGCATCCTGGCAGCAAGCCAACATAAATGATGTGGACAGGAAGCAGCTGTTATGTGGGTGCACTGGCCTGTGGGAACCTAGCCACCTGTGCTTGGACCTGTGCCACCTGTTATGTGCCAACAGTCATGACTACATCCTCCTGCATCTGCTTTCACCTGGTGTCCTGACTTCGAATCTCCTGATCAGGAAGCCCACAGGGAATAGCATTGCACCCAGGCCTTTGCTTCCATCCCAGCAGTGCTGCATAGTCCCACAGGGCAGCAGTTCTCTGCCAGGCACTGCTATCCTATCAATGGGGCACATGTTTTATTATAGATGTGTTTACTTCCCTTCTGTATCCCATGTTTCCTAACTCTGTGCATGATCATCAATGACTGCCTGATCTTGCACAAAAGTGGACAAGGTTGGTTTTTGTTGTAGGAAGAGAACCTTGAAGTCCTTATAGAGTGAGATTTGATGTCCCGAGTCTCCTCTGTAGCTTTCACCCTATGGACACATGTCCTCTGAGATCCACATTCCTGACCTTTTCTGTCCTATCTTCTCTCTTGAGTCCTTATTCACAGATGTGAATACAGATGTGCACACACAGACACAGGCGTGGTAGTCAGAGATCTGGTGGTATAATTCAAGCATCCTGGCTGTAGAAGACACAATGCCCAGGGGTTTCAATGGTTTCTAGCAAGGCCCAAAGATTCCAGAGGGAGTAAACCCCTGCTTTACATCACCAGGTGAAGACGAAGGTGGGAGGAGTGAGTTCAGGGTGGCTTGGGGCTTGAAGACAAATGAGGAAGTCTCTCTGACTTAGCAATTTGGGAAGTATGGGGAGACTTCAGTGGGGGTCACTTCACCCCAGACTGGCCTGGGCCTTTACCATTGGTGTCACCTCTGTGTTCTTCAGCATGAGACCCCTGTGGAGTGTGGAATGGTGGAATGTGCCAGTCTCTGCTCCTTAGCTCATTGCCCTCCCCTTGAGCCATTCAGCAGCAGCCAGCCACAGGATAGGTCTCTGTGACTCTATTCTTCTCCAAAGGAAGGAAAGAAGGAAGGAAGGAAGGAAGGAAGGAAGGAAGGAAGGAAGGAAGGAAAGACCAATCTTTCCCTCCACCCTTTTACCCCCACAGAGTTCATGGTGAGAAAGCTTCCCTAGCCCGTGGTTATGAAGAGCAGGCTCCTCCTGACCTGTCAGAATCCTGGGAGTACTGAGGGGGCAGCCAAGTGCCTGGTGGTAGAGCTGTGACTGAAAGCCCTAGGTGATAGAGTCCACAGATATCCGAACTGGAAGATCTTTGGCATTCCAGTGCCAAATCAGAGTCCAGAAAAGCAGGAGCAATCCAGTCACCTAGCACACATTCCTTGAACACCTTCTATGTCCCAGACCTGTTCTAGGTGTGGAACCAGAGCTGGACCTGAAACAGAAGAGGCCTCCTGCCCTGTAGCACTGCTGTGAGATGAGGAAAGTCAGGTGGCATATGCAGGTTGGCTGATAGGACATGCTGGGAAAGGTGCCATGGGAATATAAGAAGTCCTTGGGGAGGAGGCTGGTATCCAGCAGGCCTCAAGATGTGGTCACCGAAGCAGTGAATGCTTGGGAAGAGATGACCCAGCTGAGGGTGGAGGCAGGGCTAGCATGCCCAAGTGTGTGTGACTAGGCCATTGTTACCAGCCCCCACCCCACTCTGGGCAATGACAGCCCCATAGGACTTTCACTTCCTCCCATGAGCTGGGACCAAGTTGGCTGGAAGGTGACAGGAGATGGCTGCCAGCATCTGTGTGAGGGAGGTATTCTGGGCAATGCACAGCATACGTGAAGGTTTGGAAATTGGCTTTTGCAGAGCTCCATGGAGACAGACACAATGTTGTAGTGGGAGAGGGACTAGCCAGACCCAAGATGGGAACAGGCCTGGCTTTCAGGAGAGATCTGAAGGCAAGGAATATGTCCACAAAACCACAAGAGGAACTGACACTGAACCTATATCTGGGTCCAGCTGATAGAGTCCCAGCTAGGCACTGCTGAGTTACCTTGGGTCCCTAACAAGCCTCTATATGGTATAAAATTTCCTTATCTACAATGATGAGAATGATCCAGAAACCTACAGGATGAGTGGCTGACACCTGGGCATGTGGTCCTGTGAGGACATCCAGGTAGAACACTAAGACTTACATGCCAGACTGCAGTGAGCCTGCAGCCACCAGCTCAAGCCTGTCCTACCAGCTTCCACATCCCGAAGCTCATGTGCCCAGGGACATTGAGTTCTGATGTTCAGAGCTGCGAGGAACTACCCTGCACAGAGCAGGCAGTGGCCGTCACATAGTGGACCACAACAAAGGGATGGTGACCTGCAGTGGCTTGCCAGTCAGTTGTCAGAAGAATGTCCCCAGACGCTGTGAGAAGCCTGCACTCCCACTGCGTCAGGAACACATGCTATCTCTCTCAGTCACATATCTTGAGTCTTCAGTGTCTGCCTTGATCTCTTATGAGCCATCCTAGAGGAGAACAGAGCCAAGCACAGAACCAACTTCAAGAAAAGCCGGCATAATGCTTCATAGTGGCTGTGGGTGGCCTGAGAGCCAGTGCAGGGCTGTGTGGTTAGGCTAAGCCTGGGCCTAGCCCAGGAGTTGGGGGTGTCCAGTGCCTAAAGGGCCTGATATAACCTAGGGTCAAGAGCACACAGCTGGGAACTTACTTGGGATCCTGGGTCCTCTGTACCTGTCCCTTCTTGTGCACGCCCACTTCTCTCTTGTGTCCACATTTGGCCACACACTCTTGAAGGCCATCTGACCATATCAGATATGCAGGTCCCTAGAAGACCTGCTAAGACCATTTGATCTTTATGCAGATCACTCCATCTCTCCAGGTCCCAGCTCCCTTGTGTTCAAGGTGCAGAGGCAAGTAAGCATGGGGTTGGCACTCTGAGTGTGTGAAGGGATTTTAAATACAGAAATTATCTATTTGTTGCACATGGGACTCTGGGACCTTTAAAATCACACAGTGGATAATCCTTCCCTCAGAGAGATTGACTGTAACAAGATCTAGATAGCAACTCAGAGGACAAGAACACTCACTGTAGACACACCTGTCTAGTTCTCCCTGCTAAATACACCTGAAAGAAGGGGACTATAGCAGAGCAAGCAGCCATAAGGTAGGAAGGAGAGGGAGGCTGGACTCCCCTGCAGGGGCAGGGGAGGGGTATGGAGCAGGAGGCCTGCAGAGAGGAGGCCCAGGGAGATGGTCTTCTGCCTCCCAGATGGTGGGACAAACATACAGGAAGCTCTATCAGGGATTGGGGGGTGTGGTGGGCATCAGCAACCCCAGGCAAGCTGAGAAGAATGGAGTAGTGTAGTACTCAGCACTCTGAAAAATAATGACCATGGGAACTAGTCTGTATGCCCGGTCCTGCCCACTGGGCCCAACAGAACTGTGGCCTGCTAAAATGGAAGACTACCTAAGATCCCATCTCTTATCACAGCAATTGAATATTCAGGATTCAACCAAAAAATTATTTGCAACACCTCAAACATCGACATTAGTATTAGAATGAGAGTCACCAGCCTCGAACTCTGGGAAGACGTGGTGTTGACGTCGTCTGACAAGAATTCTAAGACATCCATCATAAAGATGCTCCAGAGAGCAGTTGTGTCAAAACTGGAATGGAGAAAAAGTCTCACCAAAGAAACACAAATCACTTTGAAAAAGTATCATTTGGGAACTGACATTGAACTGAAAAGTAAAATAATGTAAAAACCTGTTGTGTGGGTTCAGGGACAGAATAACTGACTCTGACAGAGGACATCGGGTTCTTCATTCTGGCGTGGACAACAAAGAGAAGGAAAACAAGCACCAGGGACCTGGGAAATGGTGCTTGTGTCTCTGAATTCCCTGATGGGGAGAGAGAATGAGTTAGAAATGTTCAAAGCAACAATGGCTGAAAACCTTGCAGACTCAGCAGAAGATGTGAGCCTGCAAGGCCAAGAAACCAAGTGAACCCTGAAGAAGATCAACCAAAGAAGTCCACACCAAGACGTGGTACTAAACTCCTGAACACTGAGGTTTTAAAAAACATGGTGAAAGTACACAGTGAGCAAAGCGATGCCATCTATGGGAAGCACTAGTTGGTGGCAGCTGACTCCACATGGAAGCCACAGGGACTGAAAGCAAGTCACATGTCTTCCTGTACTAAAGGGAAGGCCTGTCTGTGAGTTCTACATTCACTGGGAATATGCTTCTGGATGGAAGGCACAGCGGTCTGCTCAGATGAGGGAACGCTGAGAGTTGTCACTTTAATGGGTGGTTAAGGGACCTTCTCCAGAAAGAAAATAATAACTGCATAGGCTCAAAACCTCAGAAAGGGAAAAGCCTAGGCATAGAGGGAGGGGGTAGCTGGCCACCAATCCTCTTCTCAAGTTTTTTTTTAATTGTTTTTATGTGTATGGGTATTTTGCCTGCATGTATGTCATGTACCATGTGCACACAGTGCCCATAGATGCCAGAAAAGGGTGTTCCATAGGGTTGTGGGCTACCATGGGGTACTGGGAATCAAATCTGAGTGCTCTTAACTGCTGAACCATCTCTTCAGCCTCATCTTTCCATACTTAAAGGAAAAAGTATGAACAGGCCTGGAGAGATGGCTCTGTAAGAGTATTGCTTTGTTGCAGAGGGCCAGAGCTCAGGTGCCAGTACCCACATTGGGTAGCCCAAAACTACCTATAATTCCAGCTCCAGGGGCTCTGACCTCCTCCTCTGGCTTATGGGTGCCAGCATTGAAAATGCCCATACCCTTTTCCCTCTCCCACACATATACACATAATTAAAAATAAAATGACTCTCTTTTAAAAAATTGCCCAGCCCTGTCTGGGATAGTTGTTAGGGAGGTGGGAGATACACATGGCCTATGGAAATAAGGTTGCCACTGTGTGGGAGAGGTTGAATGAATATTGAGCCTGGGAAGACCATTTGCAGCCGCTGAGTAGCGGGCCAGAAACACAGTTGAGACATTTGCTGTTCTTGTTCATCCAAAAGGCCTGGAGGCTAGTAGAATCATAGGTTTCTGACGCAGTAAGGTCTGAGTGGAGCTGAGAATCCACCCAATAGACAACTTCTTTATTGCTGCTAACCTCCTCTTGAGAACTGCATCTGACACCTTCAGCTGGCATGGGCTCCTGGGATTCCTCAGTGGGACCCTTGTGGGGAGGGTCACTGAACCCACAAGGAACCTCGATGTAATGCTTGGCCTGGCATGCTTAGCAGCATGGTAGATAGGATGGGTGCCAGCTTTGTACCTGACACTCATGTCAGTCCTCAGTGTACACCTGGGAATGGTGGGGGGGATGTGAGCCTTTCCCAGTAGCTTCCGTGACATTTGGCCTCATGGTAGTGAGCATCAAGGACTCCTGTGTTTTGGCCTAGCCCATTCCATTCCAAGAGAAGCTAGTAATCCCTATTTGAATTTGACATTCCCCAACCTCAAAGATCCCCAGTTCCATTTGGCTGGTGGTGGCCTGTGGTGGTCATCATAGCACAGGATGGCATTGTCCTACCTAGCCTAGGATGTCCTGAGTCTGGGAAAGGAACTATCCTGGGAGATGTGATACTGAGACTTTTCCTGAACATGGGTACCAGCTGGGCTGGGCCCCATTCCTATGATGTTCATGGTGTGAATAACTGGCTCAGATGTCCCCCTCTGTGTCCTCTGGATAGAAGGTCACAAGCAAGGCAGGCAGAGTATCTTTAGGGGCCTCTGTTAGCTGCCTAGTCCTGTCTCTGTTGGAAACGTCATGGGCCCAGCCCTCCCCTGGCCTGGCTGAGTGTGTGACAAGGCTGTGCTGTGTCTGTTACAGGCTCCCCTTATTCCAAACCCGACTCTCTCCCAGGACCCAGGAAGGATGGCCTGGACCTCCGGGTAGGTACTTGGATGCTCCCTACCTGTGGGACACTAACCACCACTTGCTGCCTACCTGCACTGGTTCCCCTAGCTTTATGACCTCACAGCCAGAAGAGGAAGGACTCCTGCTTGCCCATCCTCCTCTGCCTGATGCTCTTTATCAGATGCTGCCACTGTAGCCTTTTCTATGTTGAGTGACCAGACCACACCCAACCATACTCTGGCTTCTCTCTGCTGTGCCCCAGAAACCAAGGAATCCCCAGTGTGTAAGACAGGGGACATGTAGGTTATCCAGAGTGATTAGGGCTGCTTTGAGTTGCTCTTCAGCCCCACCTCTTTTACCAGGGGCTAGAGTCAGTCAAGTCTGTAATGTTTCTGTGCCCATGGAACCATACCTATCCCATCTCACTACCATGTGGTCACTAGGAATGTTTCTTTACTCCCTTCCCAATCCCAAGGCACATTAATACAAGTGTAAGAGGCCTTCAGCCTGCCACCCCAAAGAGAGCCTGGCATATGCCCTGGTCCAGTGCCCTTCATGAGGAGCCTATAGCCATGTTGACTCTCAGTAAATATCTATAGTCTGGGGTGTCCTAATGACTCAGAATACCCAGGCCTCATATAAGCACATGGCTCCCGGAGAACCTCCATCACCAGGGAAGCTTTTTCCTAGTGTCAGGAAGTTTGTATATAAGTCAAAACAATTCACTTAAGAGAATCAGGTGTGTGTGTGTGTGTGTGTGTGTGTGTGTGTGTGTGTGTGTGGTGCTGGAGTGGTCTTCTCAAAATGTGAACTCAGGGCCAACTATCTGAAATACCCTTCTCTCTAAGGCTATGGGGCACTCCCAAGACCTGGGAGACATCTCCAGAGGCTGTGTCCTTTGGGACTAGCCATTGTTTTCTCCATCTTCTCAGGCTCTGATTTACGGTGTTTCTGTCCAAGACCCAGCTTCAGGGTATCTCCGATACAGTGCCTCCACATGGATGCAATCTAGAGGACCATGGCTTCCCCTCTCATTAGCCTCTCTTCATGCTCTGGAATGGACCTTGCATGTTGCCTGCTTCTTTTTGTTTTCTCCAATGGGATTTGTCTTCCACAGGGAAAGCAGATGGCTAGAAACCACACAGCACTCCTCTGACACCAAATGTAAAACCTTCCACTCAGAATCAGGGTGACAGGGGCCATGAGAGCCCTGTCTATCTTTCTAGAAGGTTTTCTTTTTGCCTGGAACAGTTTCTCACTAAGCAAGGGCCCACAGGTGCCAGTGTCCTGGCTTGACCTAGCTCCCTGCTCAAGTGAGATCCTGGGGTTGGGGTTTGCTTGGTGAATGGGAGGAACATAAGGGCACTGGAATGTCTGCATGCCTAGCCCGTGTCCAGTCACCCATCTTTGAGAAGGTGATCCCCTGGGTATCAAAGCAGCCCTAATCACCCTGGGAGAGTCTCCCCTTGTCTGTGGCATAATTGAGCTTCTGTGTCTGCAGAGGTCATGGTTTCTACTGGCTCCTCCTAGTCCAGTTGTGAATAGGTGATCTGGACCCTGATGGGTCCATCTTCATCCTGTAACTACTGTGAACATCATCTTAAGTCTCTTCAGGACCGAGAGGCAGGCCTTATGTGAATGTGGGAGGGAGCGTGAGAAGACATGAGTGCTTGAGCTCTGAGTTCTCCCAAAGGCAGAGCCCATCCTCACAGGAGTTCTGACTTTTCTCTTGGCCCTGGGGTTCTTTGTCTCCTACCCATGCTCCCCCTCATTCTCACCCCATCTAATACTCGTGTGTATTCCCCTGCCTCCTCAGCAAAAGGCTGGCAATTCCATCATCTGAGCAGCCTTTTACAGCCATGCCCAGAAGTTCAAATCTGGCGCCCCTCTCTGGAGTTCCTGCAGTGCTTGTCCACACTTGCTGGTGACCTGCAGTGCCCCAGGATTGTTCACTGGGTGCTTTGTTACCAGAAAGGGTTTGGGTGTGTGTGTGTGTGTGTGTGTGTGTGTGTGTGTGTGTTTGTGTGTGTGTGTGTGTGTGGAGGAAGCCTCCGGAGAACTTTCTATCACAAACAAATGGCAGTGTACGAGAAAAGGTGTTATAGTTACCCTCATCCGAAGGGGCAGAAGTCCTCCTGAGTCTTGATGTAGTGACCCCTAGCATTGTGCATGCTGAAGGTCATGAGACTGTCCTGATGCCCAAACCTGCTGCAGGAGGAAGATGCTCATAACCCAGAAGACTGGCAGCCACCTGCTGCAGGTCTCCCTGTGAATGAGTAATGTAAGAGAATGGTGACAGGCTACCTACCTGAAGGTCCTTGTGGCTGCTCCCTGGAAGAAGTCATGCTTGGAGAAATGTTTATATTACCTGTGAAGAGACTAAATTCCAACATTAAAAAAAAACAAAAACAGGCTGTCAGATTGGGTTAAAAAATAGCATTATCAAAGTGTGTCATTACAAGGTATACACTGAAAATGTATTCTTGGTTAGAAATGATATGAAAGAGATGCTAAAGTCACAAATGGGAGGTGGGAGTAGTGATGCTATGGCAAAGTGAAAATAAGTTTCAAATATTCAGCAAGGCACAGAGTACCAATGTCCCAGTTTTAATGAAGCTGTGATAGAACTCAACACAGAGATCGTAGACAACTCATTGGTGCTCTAGTCAACAACAGTTGCTGGAAACTAAACAGTAATCTGCTCTCAAGCTTAATCCAGTAGATAAATGCAAAACTGTATGCCTTTTCAATACAGTTTTCATGTGTTTATAAAACTCTAAAAATGTTTATGTGTGCCAGTCATGGTGGTGCACACCTTTAATCCCAGCACTCAGGAGGTAGAGGCAGGCAAATCTCAGTGGATACAAGGCCAGCCTTGTTTGTATAGAAAATTCCAGGATATCCTAGGCTGCACAGTGCCTGTCTCAAAATATTTAAATTTATATTTTTAAAGTGTTTATGTTAGGAGGCAGAGACATGAGGACCAGGAATTTAAGGCCACCCTCAGCTACATAGTGAGTTCAAAGGTAAAGCTTACCTGGGCTCCATAAGACCTGTCTCTGAGAGAGTCACAGTGAATGTGAGGGGTGGCTGTTATGTCTGTGACTATAGATCTTCAGCTGTGATCCCAGAAAGAACATGTATTTGATTAGACAGCCCTGAACTTCCAGCCATCTTGAGGCAAGTTATGTAACTTTCAGAGTTGTTATTTCCTCGAACTCACCAAGGTGGGGGTTTGATTCTTATAGCTGCATAATTATGAGAACAGATATGGCTGTAAGATGTTTTCCCAAGCTCTGTAGCATGGTTTCCACATGAGTCAGGACTTCAAAAGGAAGCCCTCATCCCCTCTTTTGCATCAGCATCTGCTGAGTCAGGCAGCTCATTCCTCCCTGGCTTTAGCAGGAAAGGCACAGCTTTGAGTGTGGGCAGCTGGGATCTCATTCCCACTAGCAACCATAGTGTAGTCTCGGGAAAGCAAAGTACACAGGCTCAAACTCCTACAGTCCTGTGCATTTTCTGTGTGAATTCAGCAAGATTGCCCCACCTCTTTGAACCTTGTCTGTAAAGCCTGAGGGTGCTTCCCACTTTTAGGGTGCAACAAGGTTGGTGAATGTGCAGTAGAGCTGGTAAGTGCCCAGATGGGGGAAGATGAATATATTACATGTCACCTTTAAAAATCCTGGAACCTCATTGAGAACTATAAAGGAGTTAGCCAGGATGGGGCCAGGCAATGCAGTCTTCGCTTGGTTCTCTGCTGCTGGTCCACACGGACAGGTTAGCTCAAGACTTGTTTGCACTGAGTGGTCTGTAGAACACGGAGCATAGACTCCACTTTTCCTGCTCTAGACCAAGGGTCCTGTTCCTCCCTTTGGAGGAAGGTTCACTTCCCATCTCATCTTTCTTTCCTCAGACCTAGGAGGCTGGAGGAAGCCGGTTCCTTTCTGGGTGATTGACCTCTTGTGATACAAGATTCTAAACACTAGGTGGCAGGATTCCTCCTTAGCACCAGTCAATCCGGGCTGCAAAGGTGGGGGCCAAGGCAGACTGGCCTCACTTTGCCAAGAGGCTCTCTGATGGACAGGTGTGCCTGAGGCTAAGAATGTTTCCAAGAGCTGTTTTTGAAAACTTCGAAGGGGAAATGGTGAGAGGTCATGGAGCGTTGTTGACTGATACAAAGGCCCCTGGCTAAGGATGCAAAGGCCCCTGGCTAAGGATGCAAAGGCCCCTGGCTAAGGATGCATGGCTTAGGACCCAGAGAGGCAAACTAGGGTTGAACCCAAGGATAGGGTCATTGAAGTAAACCATGTTACTGCAGAGGTGTTAGCCCCAAATCCACTGGACTTGGTGGTTCACATCTTTAATCCCAGCATGGAGGAGGCAGGGACAGGCAAGGAAGGCTCTTTGAGTTTAAGGCCAGCCTGGTCTACTTAGTGAGTTTAAAACTAGCCAAGGCATCTCAACAAACAAACAAACAAACAAACAAACAGAAAACAAAACAAGAGAGATGGAGGAGAGAGAAATCCAAATCCACATCTAAAAGTCCATGATAAGCCAAATATCAGAGATTTGAAATAAAGGTCTGCTTCAATCCTCTGCTGTCCACACTCACCCTCTCACCAGCCAGTCACAGCCTGCTGGATCCAGCTCTGAGGCAGGAAGGAGGTAATGGCGTACCCCTGGGCCTCTGTCTCTCTGTTTCAGATGAAGGATTTTAGTGCACAGAGTCTCTCTGCTTCAGCATTCTCTGGGGTGTGTAGCCTGCTCCCAGCTTGCCCCCCAGCTTGTCACCTGCTGGAAGGTCCATCAGAGCACCTTTTCTTGTAACCGTATATGCAGGTTGAGCACATGGTGCCTCTACCTGAAGTGCCCTGCTGAAATGCAATCCCTGGGCCCAGTTTCAAAAACTGTCCAACAGCCCTGACCATATTTCAAGCCCTGGACTGTGCTAGGGACTGGGGTACTGTCAGACATTCTTCAGGGAGCTCAGCTCATCCCACAGTTCTGGTGCAGACAGCAGGTACAGCAGGGGCAGGAGTCAGACAAGACAGGAGTGGTGCAGCCCCACAGGGGCTTGGTGCACTTTGCAGTGGTGGGCCCCTATAGACAGGAAGCTTGCACATATGAGTTTTTCCAAGTGGGCAGAAAAGAGAAAGAACTTTAATGACCATGATGTTGCTTACATGACAGTTTGTTAATGAGAGACATGGGAGTTGAGGGCAGTGCCCCAGTCAGATGACACCATCCCCCTAAGAATGTCACTTGTTGGGTATTAATGTCAGAGCAAGGCCACTCTGTCCAGGGTGCCAGGGGATTATGGACACCAGGATTCTTGGTAAGCCAAGAGTTGTGGGGGTGCCTATGGTTTACAGAAGGAGGCAGAGGCCCTTCTTGTCTTGGAGCTTTGAGGTGCATGGACATTGTCACTCTGAACTGTGTAGCTCAGTTGGTCACTGGGGACTCTTAAGAATTGAGTGGAGATGATGCATAGATCCCAGGAGGCAGTGGCCAGTGAGTTTCCCTTTTCTGTCTTGTAGGCATAGTGGGACTGGGTTGACTCTTGGGTCTACCTAGAGCATGGAACAGCAGACTGTAGTTACTTTTCACAAGGAGGGGCAGAGACAGCACAAGCTATACACATCACAGTGTAAATACAGGAACCAGGCACTGAACTGCCCTTAGGCCATGTCAGCTAGAGAGCAGGACCCAGACACAGTTTCAAAAGTAGGGCAAAATTGGTCAGGCAGGCAGGGTTCAAAGGCGTCTGAAAGCCATACCTGCAGGGAGGATATCCTGAGTACTCAACTTCCAAAGCGCAGCTCTGCCATCTACCACCTAAGCCTGTCAAACACCCTCCTCCCTCTCCTCCAGCTGTATGAGGATACAGGAAGCACTGGGGGCTGTCTCCCAGGCCCTTACTGCCTGCCCCATGCAACCTGCCTCTTGCCGGCCTCTCTCTCTTTCTCTTTTCCAGAATGCCAACCTGGCACCTTGTGGAGCAGACCCGGATGCCAGCTGGGGCACGCGAGGTACACACAATGGGACCCCTGTGGGTCTCTGGCTAGGCCAGAATCACTGGCACATGTCTGCCAGTCTCATTCTGAGACCATCCCTCCGGGACCTGCTGGCAGAAGGCTCTGCACCATGGATGAAGGGTCCCCTGGGGATACTTGTTGACCCCTCAGCACTCTCATCCTGTGCTGCAGGAACCTGTCGTGGCTTTGTAGGTGCTGGAAATCTCTTGGAGTAGGGCACAGAGTCACAGGCAGTTTCCAGGGCCTGAGCTGAACAGTGTAGGTCAAACCCTCTTTCTGCTCCTCATTCACTGTGTGTCTGCTGGCATGCATGAGTGGCCACATGGCTGTGTGGGTACCCCACTAATGGCTACTCACCCAACTCTGAGCAGGGTCATGCACCTGGCCATGCTCACCTCCTTGTATCCTCTGGAATGCTGGGGAACCCTGCTTTTGCATACCAATTCACATATAGATGGCAGTGCCAAAGCATCACAACTTGCTCTTAAAGTGATTGTCCCAGTCTCCAGCCTCAGAGCTGGCACTTCAGAGTCCTAAGTGGGAAGACCAAGAGCCTGCCTCATATAGGTATCTTCCTTCCAGAACGACTTGAAGCCAGGTTTCTAATGGTCTGTCCTCCTGTATGTATGGAGCCCCTGCCATCTGCATTGCTTTAGCTTCTATATGATGATACCTTAAGTCTAAGGAAAAACCTCGTCAGAATGAGTGTACAGTGCATGGCAGTTTAAAATAGGAAGCAAAGCATGAGGAAGAGGGGCTGGGGTGTGGCTTGGGGGGGGGGCAGTGTGCCTGCCTTACATACATAAAACTCTGGGTTTTATTCCCAGCAGCACATAAACTATGCATGATGGTGCGTACTGTAATCCCAGCACTTGGGATGGGAAAGGCAGGGAATCAGGAGCTCAAGGTCACTCTCAACTATATAGTAAGTTCAAAGTTAGCCTAGACTCAGTGAGACCTTGTTTAAAGGGAGGCAGTAGGAGACTTGGGTGACAGGATACATATTGGTAAAGGTGTCAGACTCTGCAACACCCCTCAGAAAGTTTTCCCTGGAGAACCCACTGCACACTTGGGTAAACTGAGATGGGTGTCTTTCTCAATGTAGAAAAAAGACATCTCCCAGCCTAGGAGCACTGTGCCACTACCCAGATTCCAGTGTGGCCTCTAGCCTCCTGGCCATGCCTCCTGCTCTCAATATTCCTTGGGAGACCCTTGATTCCTCCCATGAAATACAAGACCAGAGGTCCATGAAAGCTGCTCTGGAGAACAAAGACCAAGCATGGACCCACTGACTGAGGGTGGGGGTTGCCTAGACAGAGGATTGCTCCCATCCTGGGCATGGATTCTTTTATTCCTAAACTATCCCTGTGGTCTCTGCTCTTCTCTTACAGAGTACAAGGTAAGGGGCTTCCTGCACTAACTGACCTCTCCCACTGCGATGCACCTGCCCAGGTTAAAAGTTCCTTTTTGTTGCATTTTCTGTATGAAATGTGCATGTCCACAGCCCACACACGTATGTATCCTGGTTTTTCCTTTGGTCATCCCAGGGGTACTTGCCTCTGAGATAACCCTGTGGTGTTTCCCTTCAGATATACCCATATGACTCCCTCATCGTAACAAACCGAATTCGTGTGAAACTGCCCAAAGATGTGGACCGGACGCGGCTGGAGGTAAGGCAAGGTAGAGTGGTATCTGTTGAGACTTTAAGATCTCAGCCATGAGATCACCCGCCCCCCCCCACACACACACACTAGGAGGTGACAACACAGGGTTCAGATCCAAGACACAGGAATCTTCAAAGGCAAAGGAACATGGTCACAGACCCAACTATGCTGGCTTTGCACAGGGGCCCTGGATTGTGGCTGGAGTAGGGAAGGCTGGGTAGCATGGTGCACCAAGGAGCCTGTCATGGTCCCATCCGAAGTATTGCTGTGAAAAGATGGGCCAGCTTGAAGGAGAAATTCCTAGGCTTCTCTGCTGATCTAGAGCAGGGAGTTCATCTGGGGAACACAAGTGTGTGTCTGAAAGGAGTAGTGTGAGATGGTGCACTCTGGCCTGGAGGACAGACTCTGCTAAGCACTCTATGGCAAGGCTAAAGTGCTCTATCCATGCCTTTCTTTTCTTCAAAATCACCCAGCAGTCAGCAACATCTGTGGGGGGATTCCCCTCTTGAGCTTTGCACATAGGTGCTGCCTTTCCATGCCTCTTGCTGGGGTGAGGGCATCTCTAGGCTCCTGGGGGCAAAGGCTACCTCCCAGTTGTGCTTTGGGCAAGCACTAGACCCCATCCAACCTTCTCATGGGGGCAGCGGCTTCCTGTGTGGCCAGGAACATGAATAAGAGAAACAGACTTTGGAGGGGCTTTGGAGGTTGGGTAGAGCAGAAACCTAATAGACAGATCCATAAAGAGGTGGCCTCTAAGGTGGGATAGATCGGCCTGACAGGGACTGTTCTTGGGTTCAGAGTGTGAAGGTCCTGTCTGTGTTATACAGCATGAGCTCAGGTTTGTCCAAAGCTCAGGTTTGTCAGGACTTTCACAGGCAATAGCTCAGGGCAGTGTGAGTAAGGGTATCTGTGCAGAGCCTGTGGAATGTGACCCTGGCAGGGGCAATATCATAGCAGAGTACTGGCTTTCCTCAGTCATCTCTAGTTAGGACAAAAAGCCAGAGCTGCTTAAGGGAGTCATTGTGTTGTCAGAGGTCATTTCAAGCCCTTTCCCTGGGGTCTGTTAAATAGTAGTCCTACTGCACAGGGAGGTGACAGCAGGACACAGAATACACAACTGTGGCTGCTACATGGGGTGGTGGTACTCCCTTAGACCTAAGGATACTTGACCCATAGTGACTTATACTGTAAACCAATGGATTCGCATAACTGAAGGGCCCCTTCGGGAATGGCTGGATCAAGGACCAAACAGTATTTGCATGCTTCCTTTACACAGTGAGACTTTCATCTCCCCTCAAAAGCTCATACAACCCACACTGAGCCTCTCAGTGGTCATTATTCCACCCCACCGCACCCCTAAACCATCCAGTCCTACCTGACAACCAGCTTAGCTGGAGTTAAGGGGGCTGCTGGTGTCACCTGAGTTGGAGAGACCCAGGTCATTCCTGGAAGAAACTGAGACCTGCCATCTGAGATGGAAAGAGGCTGTTGGGCAACAGGCAGATGGCAAGTGTCTACTGCAGGGAGGGTTGGGGAGGGAACAGCACAGCATAGCAAAACAGAAAAATCTCCAAAAGTAGCCACTCAGAACAGCCAGTCCACATGGTGCATATCCATTGTACCAGCCAAGGATCCATGGAGCCAGACCTCTGGTTAGCAAGATACTTGGAGATCACTGCAATGAGGACAGGTCACCGAAGCATTTTTGTGTATTTTTATGTGTATATCATTCATGGGAAGGGACATCAGCTGGGCTGGCTAGGATGCTGTATGAGATTGGCAGGGTAGGAAAAGGCTGGAGGCTACCAAGGGACAGGGCTCTGCCTATGGTCTTGGAGACTGAGCTCCAGAAGTCTTTGCCTGAGTGTCAAATGCGACATTGGCATCAATGGCCCACAGTGGGGTGTCTGGGCCTCTGGCTGAAGCTGGGCTTGTTGATGGTGGGGTCATGACCAAGAGCACAGCTACTGTTTAAAGGGGGGTACTGCTGGCCACTGGCAGCTCATGGGTCAGAATCCTATTTGCCATGTGTCTTGGCTCTTTAAAAGGTGTGTCCTTGTGGGTTACTGAGGGTGCTTGGATGATGCTTAGATGATGCTCAGAGCTCAGATGACATCAGTAGCAGCTCCTGCAGCCTCCTGAAAGCCTGCTGGGGCTTCCTGCTTCCCTTTAGGGCTGGGGTGTGTCTCAAATGACTTTGCTTTGCTTGTGAGTGTGCCTGCTGAAGCCAGCTGTAGCCTGGGGAGGGGATTAAACTTCTCATATTCAGGTGAACACACCCAAGAGTGTGACTCTCAGCTATCTTCCCCTTCAAGCTCAGCCAGCCTCAGGAACTTGAACAATTTCTAGTGGGGCACATCCATCCTTTCTTCCTCATCAGCTTGGAGACAGGGATGTGGCTCTGGAAGGGGTGTGGTGGGGCTTTCTTGCAGGACCAGACACGGCCCCCCTCAACTCCCATGTTTGTGTCATGGGAGAGAACTTTAGTTTTATAGTGAAACCAAGTTATAACTTGTGAAGATTCAGAGAGCCACGATGAGGAATGGGTAGTGGAAAAGCCTGGGAGTCCCCCAGTGCCATCTCTTCAGGGTGGGCAAGCTTCCACAAATCTCTCTTGTGTGACTTTGGCAGTAACCAAGTTGTCTTTGGGGTAAGGAAGGTTCCCTGTATACTCAACTCAACACCTACTTTCCCCCTGAGGTTTGATACAGACCTTTTCTGTGACAACTCATGGCATTCTGCTCCCACCTGGCCAAGTAGGCACAGGAAGCCTAGCTTCCTGAAGGGTCCTAAGGATAGCATTGCCACTCACAGGCTCATTGGCTGAACTTGTCACATGGCATCACTTACTGCAAGGCAGGCTGGGAAGTGAAGTTAGCTATGTGCAGGAAGAGGGTATGGATGTGAACAGCAGCAGATGGTGTCCTCTGTAACTCTGCAGGATTTATCCCCTGGATGACTATTATCATCAAAACTCAGTGTCACAGTTGATAGCCAAGTGTCCCAAGCATTCATAGACATGGGCACTGACTGGGACCCCAGGGAAGTCTTTGAGCAAAACCAGACATGAGCTCTGCCCTGTAGAGAGGTGTCCATCAACTGATTATCCTAAATGAATGTGTATAACAACATACCAGCATTAGTGCTCTGAAGGTCAGGAACCTGGGCCTCTCTGTTTCAAATGAATAGATAATGATGGTGTGGTAAACATACTTGGATGTCTGTGCCTGAGTGTGTGAGGGTTTGGGTAATAGACTACATGTGCAAAGGCCAGGGAGCAGAAGGGAACATGGGCTGTTTGAGGAAGTGGACCTACAAGACTAGCCCTGAGCAGGTAGAGGGAAGGATAGAGCATGCCTCACAGGGCCCTGGACTGCACTATGCAGTTTGGCTGTTAGCCTGGTGACAGTAACAAGATTTGGCTTGCAGTTTACAACATGCCCTGTGGCTGTGTTGTGGAGTTTAGCTGGCAGTGGATACAGAGGGAGAGTTTAGGGGCAGTGTGAGTAATTTAGAAAGCATGATGGTAGCTTGGATAGGGTAGCATGATGGCAGGTGAGATGTAGATGAATTCAGGCAGTGTTTGGGAGGTCACAGACCTTAAACATGAAGACTGCGCTGTGGGCAGGGTATTCCTGATTTGACTGTGGTCAGACTGGGTAGGATGGGATGTGGTGGTCTCCCAGAAGAACAGCATGCACTGGGACCAATAGTGAGGGCATTTGGGCACAGCCTGGCAGCAGTTAAAGGTTCCACACAGGTGCCCAGTTCTGCACAGTGTGTGATGAAGGTCAGTGACTTGTGTTCCAGTTGTGAAGGTCCTCTTTGAATCCATAGGGAGTCAGATGCATCACACAACATCCATACATGGAGCAAAAGCCAGGTCTCCATCCTCAGATGTAGAGCTCTTTGTCCTGGAAGATCTAAATCTCAACCCTTGGCCATAGTACACCAAGGGCCTCCTTCCCAGAGGGACCCAGCCCCCAGTGTGTTTAAATGCTTAAATTCTGAAGACCCTCTGGGCCCAGAGTTCCCAGTCCAAGGGATAGAATCTCTGTTGGCCCCAGATGGGATGACATGTCCTAATCTGAGCTATTCCCTGCATGCCCTGCCCTGTTCATCAAAGGTGGCATTGTTTTGCTTCCAAGATGGTCTTCTGCCATCCCCAATAGTGTCATGGGAGGGGCTGAGCACTTGGAGTTAGTGTGAGCTGATGTGAATCTGGTCTCTGTAATGTCTGCCTGTGTGGCTATGGACAAGTAGCTTAACCATTCTGGGCCTGGTCTCTCACATGTCAGTAGACAAGGTTGAGCATCTACAGTGTTAAGCAGCAGGTAGACACCCATGTGCACCCCATCCTCCAAACTAAGTGATAACCCTGCAGATACCAAGCTTGCCATGGAGAAGGGCCATGGAAGTAGTCCAAAATGATGATTGCTGAAAACAGGAAGAAGTAGTGTCACCCTGTACATGGATGCAGGGCCAGGCAGTCCGCTGTGGGAGAAATGTGCTTTCATAGTGCCGTGTGGCAGACTTAGACAGCATGAACATGGCTAAACAGTGCAGAGAGTGCCACTGTCCCTCCTGTGTGGTCGGCTCCATTCCAAGCACATGGCATATTTTAACACTTCTTTCACGGCACCACAAGGCATCCAGATGGCTTCCAGAACCATGGTTCCCAAGAGGCAGAGGTGGGATTCAGCACTCAGAGCCACTCAGCTAGCCTGCCTTCTAGATCAATTACAATATGTAGATGAACTGCCAAACGAACCTGTCTTTAAATTGCTTTTCTTATTATAACTTCTTCACAATTATGAAGACTGACACACAGACCTTAGATACATGCATTCACACACATGCACACAAACACACAGACATATACAAACAAGCTTGTGCAGGTGCAGAACACATGCCAAGGCACATGCTCAGAGAGGAGCTTCACAAATCCTGGGACTGGTTCTTCTGGGATGTCCTGACTCAAGAGGCTGAGCTCTGAGGCAGGTTTA